ACAACCAACACTGCTGTAGTGTAGTTCACGAAGACTATCCTTGCATTAAGGGGGCGAATAAGATAGGTTTCGTTCGATTTGTTGCCGAGACTGTGGTTTTTGATTTCGAAACTGTAGCAACCTGTGAACCTGCCCGAAGTACTGAAGTCAATGCAGGTCAGGTTTGGCAGGATGCTTATGGAAAGGAGCGCGCAGTGTGTAGGAAGTTCAGGAGAGGACGGATTCTCTATAAAAGATCCAAGAAAGAGCGGAGATTTGATTGGACTGATGAGGAAAAGGAGGTTCGCTATAGCGGAAAAACGAAATCTCTTCCACTATAAAACGAATGATGAAGATCCTGTTCATGTGCCTGAAACCGAAGATTATATGTCTAACGACTTCATCGCTTCTAAACACAAAGGAAGAAACGCGCGAGTCTCTCTGGCGAGGCAGATCTACATCGGTGACGCATACCAGTTTGACCCATATGCCAAGCGCTCTCGTCTTTCCACCCGCCATCTTCGCAGCAGTAAGCATCATGGATGTCCTATAACACGCCAGAGGAAGTCCCCATCGCGTCTTTTGTTACAACATCTCGAGCACATCCTCACTTAACTCCTTGCTTAGCACCCTGTGCTACGAGGGCGCTCTCGTCGGCGGCGTAGCCGCGTCCAAAATATTTCTGGTGTTAGACCTAATGGACTTCCTCCATGTTGATGGAAAGTCAGTACAAGCTTCGAATCGGTCATACTGGAATGCAATGGAGAGGAAGGTTTGTAGGACTCTGGTGTCTACATTGACCAAGAAATGCATAGCAGCAAACAGGATGCCATAACAATATTCTATAAGGAGCAAAACCGACAGAACAGATTTCGCAGTCTTGAACCTTTTGCCACAGTATATCTGTCTTCTCCGACAGGGCATTCGTAGTGGACCTGTCGCACTTTCGAAGCACCATGCGTATTTACAACTACTCTTTCCACATCATTTGAATTGTACCGTTGCGATTTGCGTTCATAAAGGAAGTTAGTCACGCAAAGTATATGTTTAGAAAGTATTCAAATCTTTCTCATTGCTTTTGTCACTTTTCTAGGTTTTTCTGTTGCAGAGAGGTACCTCAAGAGTAGTTTCTGTTCGGTCAATTTATTTGTAAAAGTGCCTTTCCACCCTATTCAAACATAGCCAAAACAATTCCTGCTATCATCGCCCCTTGAGGAGCTGCTACTATAGGTAGATGTATTCTTCGCACTGATTTTGGTAGTTCAAGGTTTTGTCTAGGTATGTACAGCGAACGATATATGGTCTCCTAAGCACTCATGGTGCTAGGACATTAATTGTTCTTCCTCTTCGGTTCTAACACCATGTCGTCACCTAAGTTTCCGTCAATATCAACCAATCATCTTTGAAGATGTTCTCCACAATGTTAGAAGAGAAATGCTTGAGTCAAGACGCGAAAAATGAGGCAGGGAAAGCGATGGTAGCAAAAATTGCGGACAAGCTGAGCAAGGATTTATTTTCCCTATTTATCGGACCTAGCTATTGCAAATGCAAGGAATCTTTGTCGCATTGAAGTGAAGCATGTCTCTAGTTAGTTCCAACTCTCCACTCGGAAAGATTTAGGTTTATATAACGTTTTTTGACTGGTTTGTTTCAGAACGACAACTGTTTTGACTACACGTACTAATGCTGAGCTGAAGTGTAACAACAATCATAACTCCGATTCCAGCTGCAATTGTCTATCATAGATGATCCATCTAGAAAACAATTTAGCTGCATGAAGGAAAAAAGCAAAAGTCCTATTTTGTAAACCATTATGTGTCGCTCTCAGAACATAACGTTTTTTTTTGTCCGCCGAATCCAATATTCAGTGGTTCGTACTTGGGACAACTGGTGGTTAAAACTGAGTTATTGCAAACGAAACTAAAAATAACACAGCGTCTGGAAAACGATTTTAGTCTCACGTGTCAAAGGGCAGCAGCGCCGAAATGGATACAAGTAAATGAAAATCTTCTCAGCAGTCTGATCTGACTTCCTGATCAAAACGTTAACTGCATTGTCATGAGGAGATCTCTGCAGTTGCAAAGATATATCAGCGTTTCGCTTAACTTGGACATTCTTACCTTCAGAGGACGGAGAGCAGTAGAAGCATTAGTTGGTTCCACCACGAATGCCCTGGTAGACGCAGCTGGGGTACTGTGGCAAAAGGTGCAACGACTGCGAAATCTGTTCTGTGCAGAACCGCCACTTGTGGGAGTTTTCTGAGAAAACAGGACTCGGTTTGACGATAGTCGACGCCGTGCAAGGACATGAAAGGGAGTCGTATTTCTCCTTACCACCAAGACCCATTTCAACCCGGATGTCGCTTTCTTAGCGGTAGGAGGCGGGTGAACATGGCACTCACCAGATGTCGTCACGGACATTTCTCGGCCACTAGCCATCACTCAAAGGTGTGCCTTGCTGGAAGACAGTGCTCGTTTGAGCGTCTACCCTGCCTGCATTCCCTTCTACTCACTTCGTAATCGTCTACGGCTGCATCCGGAAGAAAATGAGCAGATAATCCTCTGTCGAATGATGAAAACGATGAAGCCGAGGTTTAGGCCTCACATCAAGTGTTTGGGAACATCATCCTCATGCAAAATCCAGTGGTAAAAAGTCAAATATGTCTTATTACTCGTTGTTATTAACTGTTTTGAGTGAACCTTCTTTAAAAAACAGTCTATCCTCTGTCCATGCTCCAGACTATGATGGGCCCATGTAATCCCATCTGATGGAGTCCACCAATACCAGTTGCTTGTCGTTTAGCTCTTATTCACTTTTCTTAGTTTTGAATTTGAGCTGAAATGCTGTCGACTAACTCTCTGGCACACTTATTGTCTGCCGTTGATCTTTACGATTCCGCAAGAACGAACCTCTATCATGCCTGAGCAGTGCTAGTTTATGATGTTACTCAATTCTGTTACTGTTTGGTACTTACTATACATACGTCTCGATATATTTCACTTCGTTTTACTTTGCATATCATTGTGTGTGCTCTACTCTACTAATAGGTTGTCCCATAATTATCTACCGTTTTTACTTCGACGGTCGTCTTTTGTGTCTATCCTTCATCTGATGCGGCTTGAGTAACCAATAGGGCAAAGCAAGCTCTACAAGATGGATATCAGAAGTCTGCGTGAATCGTAATCTACATAAAGTTTTGAGCTGAAATATGGTAGTAGTCAAAAACGAACTTTTCTGTCAAAAATCGTATCTCCGCCCCAAAGTATCTAAAAGTGCCAAAATTCTGGCATATGCTTGACACATTGCACATTCGATTGCATACTTTCCGAATTTTTTCCATGGCTAGAAATAAAGAAAAAATTAATGAGGTAAATGGCAAACTCCGCCCCTAGAAGTCCTGAGTTCCTCCCACACACGTGATCATATAGCTTATACATAGGAAGTATGATCATGTATTTGAAAATTTTGAAGGTGCCTCAGTTCTCGAAAAATGCTGATGTTCAAGATAAAAACGGTAAATAATTATGGGACACCCTAATAGCTTTACATTTTGATAACTACAGAATGCCGAAGCTATTTCCACTTCCATATCCTAACCTACTATAGATAATGCGCTTATGATCTTACATATGGTGTTGCATTCCTATGTGTATTTTGTTTACCTCACGCGTTTCTTGTATCCCGTGCTAACCCAATAATCTGCAAGGAAGCTGGAGGTCATTATCATTTACTTATCCATTACTCTGTACTTAGGTCATGAAAATTTTGCCTATATGTATTCTTACCTTTATTATTTTACAATTAATTTGCATAGTCTAAATAGGTCACTCTCAGTGGCGTACCGAGGGGAGGGATTAACATCTGCCAAGAGCTGGGTTCACCTAATTGAAAACGAGATTTAAAAAAAACCAGGATGTTCGCAAAGGGATATACATAGGTATGAAAACAACTAACAATCAACCAATAACAAGCAACGTCTTCAACGTGAAATAACGACCGCAAGAAATACACAATAAAAATAATTTCTGTTCAACATAATTAGCCTGTAAAACAGTGCTTACATGTCAATCAAACGAAGTCTTGCTTGAAAACGTCTTCGCATATCCACCATTTGTAATTTCGCAAGAGCTCGAACATGTGTACAGTCTGCTCCAAACGGGATCAGGCCGAAACGTCGACGTGAATTTGCGCGCTCGCAGCGCTAGCGGTCTGCGCTGCATAGGCGCGCTGTCGGAGAGAGCAAAGATTGAGGAGAGAGAGCAGAGAAGCAGGCCGTGGGCGTGACCGCGAAACCCTAGCGAAGCGGACTCCCGCCATGCCAATTTCGGCCTGGTTAGGATTGGGGCAGACTGTACACATACACAGATGCCCATTCATGATTGCCCAATTTGCTCGACTTCAATGAGGGAGAGAAGATGAGGCATAAGTCGCAGCTCAAACGTTCGCGGCGCTCCACCACAGCTTTCGCGCTTTGCTTGTGACGCGAAATCCAATCAAGAGCTTGATGATTTCGACAGCTGTGCCAAGATTCTCTACATTTTCCACATTTTTCGAAGCATAGCAACCGTCTCACACAGCTGCTCAGGCACTCCCTGTTGACTCGCGCCGGAGATCCGCCCCTTTTCGAGGGATTCGCGAGAAAGGGCGTAGACATGCGCGAGACAATATTTTGACAGTTTTTGCGGATGGTCGCGAAAGGAAATTGGGAGATGATGTGTGACTCAGCGAGCAGTTTCGCAATATCGACGCGCGTTTCAAATCTCAGCTCATATTGCATCATTTCAGGTTTTTGCTACTTATTTTCTGAATTCGTGCATTCCATCCGTCCTACCTAAGCCCTCTTCTTTCCGTTATTTCATTCCAATCCAAATTTAACTTTATTTGAAATCAATTTTGAAGCTTCTTCTCTAGAAAACGAAGCTCGACTATCTCCGTGATTGTGGGATGTCACATTTTGTCTTGTCACATTTTTAATAAGTAGGCTCCACTGTTTCCTCATTTCGCACTTTCTTCTCATTTTTGAGGTTTCGTTCTGGATGCTCTTGGTTTATAGATGATTTGCTGTTACCAGCTTCAGAATTAATGAGGAACCCACTATGTATGTTTTGGAGAATCCTAAGTTTGCATTATTATTTTTCATTGGTTTAGATGATGGACAAATCTTGGAAAGGACGACAGGGAGCGATCAAAAGCCTTCGACGTGCTCGCACAGGCCAGGATGGATTGGGCGGTCTTCGCTCGCATAGCCCTCGGAAGAGCCTTGTAAGCTATAAGAGTATTGATAAGGCAGATGGACATTCCATCTTGCGTTTTGTAGGGGAAATGTACGGGCTTATGTACTGAATGCGGTCAGAGCTAAACTCCTTTCTTCAAAGGTAAGATGCCAGTGCTCTATTCCCAGTCTTCGTCGACATGATTTTTTCTTTTCAGAAGAAGCTTGTGATCGAGACTACGGCAAGCAGCTCTTCTGCTGTCAAGGAAATAGAAAACACCAGCTCCGACGAGTTTTAGCCCATCTGCTACTATTTTTCTCTAGTTTGCTGCACTTATATATCACTATCATATCATTTGCCTTAACTCTACTCCCGCTTTTGCGTATCACTTATTTGCATTCCGAGATTCTCATTGTTTAAACGGTTACCAAGTACACTTCTATCTCATCATGTAATTTCGCTTTTTAACGCGTTTCTCCTGAGATTTCAACGGAAGTGCCCGAGGTTAACATGTTCAAAAGGCGAAAGGCAGCGAGATGACGTGGTACCTATGGGAATCTTGCTGGGGAACAAACGATATATATATGCCTTTCAGTGGCGTACCGAGGGGGGGGGCGGGGGGAGGGCGCCCCCCCCGAGAATGGGTCGCGAAATTTTTGAAAGTTACTTATATGGGTTATAAAAATGTGCAAATGACTTATTAATACTTGTAAATAATTAAATTAATTTTTAAAAATTTTTAAAAAATTTAAATTAGCCTTGTAAAAAATTTTTCCGGGGGCGTGGCTGACGCCACGCACCCTTTTTCCAGATTTTAGGGGTTGGGGACCCGCATTTAAAATTTTGAGAAGTACCCCTAAAATTTTTTCGGAGTGCGTGGCTAACGCCACGCACCTTCATTCGAAAAAAATTTTTGTCGCCCCCCCCCGAGCGGAAATCCTGGGTACGCCACTGATGCCTTTATATATATATGTATATATAAATATATATAATGTATATTTATACAAACACATATAAGTATATACATATATGTAATGTACAGCAAGTAGGGATATAGCGAAATTATTACTGCGAGATAACGCGCTTGCGTCAGGACATCAAGATGTGTCGCCCTCGAGCTGCCGCGTATTTCCTGCAAGATGCGGGTCGCGTCAAAGCGTTGTCTCGGGCAGCATTGTTCCGACACATAATGCTGCCTCGGGATTTCGTCGCGAGGCCGATTACTTGTGTCGCGCCTTCATTCAGCGCTTACATACTTTGGGCTGCGCGAGTCAACAGCGAATGTCTGAGTGTGGAGCATCTTCTGGTCAAGGATCAGGGGCATCACTTTAGATTAGGATTCATAGGTCCATCATACGAATAGTATGATTGCGTCTGGGCAAGCAACATTGAAATACAGCAATGTTGGATGCATCATTAGGCTTAGACAATGTGGATTGCAACAAATGAATATAAACAAAGTTCGTTGAAAAGAGTGAGGCGGGTCTTTTCAGAGGTGGCATAGATTTGGATAGAAAAGCACAATGACTTTTGACATATTAGGTTGTCCCGGAAGTTATGTCCGTTTCTTTCATCGCTCACTAAAATTCACGGAACACCAATCCGGGCGGCTTTTAGGTCAGATTTTCATACTCTTTCTTACAGCTATACTTGCTTTCTGATCTACCTTGTCTCTGCAATGTTATCGCCATGGATTTTTGAGCAGTTCAGCAGAATACCAAATCCTTCCTGAATTTTAGAAATTTTTAAACTAATGTTTTCAAAGAGCGCTAGTGACCGTTATGTAGAGCCTGTGGATTTTCGGATTCAGCATGGCGAATAGGCGCGGGTAAGCACAAAATCTCAAAATCGACTTTTTGCCCGGACACTGCCTTTAATTACGTTTACTCACTCAGAAGTATCGAAAATTCAAAAAGCAGCCTCTTTGAAGCAAATCGAACTGTTATGTTGCATAAATAATGTTTAATAAGAGTCATGTTTAGTTGCAGAAACTTCAAAAGTTTTCATGTATTTGCTGCAGATGCGTGTTTCATGACTTTGCCAGAAATTGAGACCTTCAAAGAATTAGTTTTTTGAAGCTAAAAACAGCAGACTTGGAATACAAAAAAATATCGCCTTGTAGTACGAGAATTGCTCTGTATGATCTATACTCAATCCTTTCCGAAACTTTGAAACGAAATTTTTAAAAATTAGCTAAACTTTAAGCACATGAAATTGACGGGTGGACAATTTTGGCAGTTATCAAAAAAGCATAAAAGATTTTGGTTCGAAAATGTGTTTACAAGAAAGAGAAGGAAAAGCTGCACCTGCTTGTTGGAACTTATTCAGGTCTTTATTGTGCGTGGTTTTATAGTGGTTTGAGAAAACGGACAAAATTTTCGAGACAACCTAATATAAAGCATTGTAGTTCAGTAGATGTTGGGAGAAATTAAGAATTCAACCACGAAGGTTTTCCTCCTATTTTTCCTAGCGGAATATATATACTTCGAAGACGTTATCTAACTCAGAAGGTAAGGCGAAAGCAAGACAGACGGGAAGATCATGAGCGTTCTATATCTGTATATATCTGCATTCTAATCCTGTTTATTCATAAACTTCTTAGTATCTCTTTGCTTGCAAATAACTAGAGAACCAGAACGACGTGCACAAGAACAACAGCAATCACGGCAGAATATGTAAGCGAGTCGTTTGCCGTGTACCCAAGTACTGCTTAACTTGGGTAATTAAACTTGTTATTGTGCAGGAAAACGTGACTGCGACGAAGGTGTTTCTACTTTTTTCGCAGTTAGCCACACCTAGCTCTGCCTCAAAAAAGAGTTTTTCCTTTTTCGTGAAGAGAAGTCAATTGCAAATGCGTGTTGGACATGAGTTTGCTTTCATCATCTATTATCAATTTAGTGCTGAAGTAGGAGTCACGATCAAACAACGGCGATGAAGAAAGTTCATGGTGAAAAACAACCTTTCGCTGCTCATTCACTGGATTGGAATTTGAAAATAAGTTGTTCTACTGACAAATTCGCTGTTTTTGTCGCTGTATTTTTTGTTGTGGATGCTAATCCTACTATATTTGTGTGGGTACGCGTACAACCTTCTTGAGAGCTTGTGTTGATACCCGTATTACTGTAATTTACAGATTTTCATTCAACTTAATGATGATAGATGATAACTGATACCATTGTACAAAAATTCATGACTAGACTGGTTGACCGTCATCTAGGTTTCTTTTACTTCCGGTATTGTGATTGTGTCACCTTCCTTCAATCTTTTTCCTTCAATACCTGTCTCATATCATGTTCTGAATATTTAGCCAATTCACGGAACAAAAAAAATAGAGAAAGTGAATCGCAATTTGATTTTTTGAGCAGAGGCAACAGACCTTTTTGAAAAAACGTATCGAATTCATGACAAAAGTATATAGGGTCCATGGGTTTTGAACGATCACGTTGTTTGATTGTGAGATGCCTGCAAAGTCAAGATGAGAGGGTTAAAAGTTAATTGTCGCAAGTTTGCATACTGTTCAAACGATACAGAGTGACAAAAAAGAAGAAAAGCTTGACTTTTTCCTTTCAGTGCACATTCTTCATCTTTCTCGGCATGTGTTCCTCCGTCGTCCCTACAATTCCAGCGTCAGCCGGCTTCATTTCTTCTAAGGGCTCTAAATCGTGCAGGCGTATTGTATGAGGTCGCGGGCTTAGGGTTAGGCCAGATTGCGCGGCGTACGTTTCATATCTTTATGCACGTGTGTGTACGCTGCGTACGATGCGTTAGCCGCTTCTGCCGCGCAGTCTGGCCCAGCCCTTATTTAATGCGATCTCAGTGCGACGCGATTTGACGATATTCCAATTGTATGTGAAAAATTTATGAATATAAAAGGGGTGAGTGATTTTTCATACGATGAGCAATTCCGAGGTGCGAGGTGTGAACGCCTACGGCTAAGTGTCAAGTCTCACACCTCCGCGTCTAGTATACTGTAGAGAGGGGGGCGGTGGAGGGGGACTTTTCATACGAATGCCTCCACATCATCTTTTGGCAAAGATCCAGTAAAAACTGGCACCATGCCAGGTTTAGGCCTGCTGGCTCCACTCCAATCATCTAGATTAGCTTGTGCAGTACCGCGAATTTGGATAAATTTGGAAAACTTGAATACTGTATGGATTCAAAAAGTGTTTTGCTGTGAAAAATAACACTATGACCGTTCCACTTACGAATTTTTTAGTATTCAAGTCGACATAATTCGGTTTCTTTTGCAAACGTTTTGAACTGATTTGAGTATTGTCACATGCCTCTCCAAGCCTTCAGCATGACCTGCAAGTGTTACTCTTCCCATAGGGGATATTGGAGGGGAAGACGGTCAAGAGGCGCGATTTTTCTGGGTGTCATCAATATAAAACTGCAGTTTCATGCTATGGGAAAATTCAAAAAGTGCCGGACAAAGTTCATTGGCTTACTAGCTGTTTGAAGTAACCACTTGATAAGTTTGACGACTTCTGCTAGAAAACTGACAGAAATATTTACAAAATTGGTGTTAATCATTATGTGTTTTTGACCTTTAACAATTTTGTTTGAAATCGATTCCAAGATGATGAGATTGAACAATCCCTAATTTCCCTAATATATTTCTTTCGAAATTTTAAGTAATTCTAGAACTTCATAAAACACTTAATATGTGCTATATGCTGCCCATCTGGCAATAGGAATCGCGCCTCTTGACATAGCTACACCGTTGGAGGGCATGGGACTCGATAGAGCGAACCATTCATTACCACAATTGTGCCACTTGTTTGCGAAAATGAAATCGCTGTGGTTTGACGATCTTACTATGATACGCCATTTCAACCCGATAAGCTTACAACAGATAAAATCATATTCTTTAGTTTATGCATTTTTGATAATAAACGTTTCATTTTAATCCATTGGAATCGATAACTGGACGTATTACCAGTACCCTAGCATACGCTAGAAGGTCAAAGTGATCGGGAAGCGTTCGTATGAAAAGTCCCCCTCCCCCCCCCCCTCACCTAGGCGTAGTGGAGAATCTTACTCATTACGTGGATGGAGAGGTGCGATGTAGGTGTGAGGTAGGTGCGAAGGTTGGGTGCGAAGTCCCCGATCGTATGAAAAGTCCCCCCCCCCCCATATAAAAGCAAGGCATTTTATCAGTCTAAGAGGGTTATATAGTCTATGCATTTGAAGTTGCCAATGTTGGGTTTGAAGACGTATGACTAATTGTCAGACTGCGTTGCGATTAAAATTGTGTGAATTATGCCCTCGCCTCAAAAGCATACTTGACGCATCGCACCATTACACGCGTGCGATCGCAACGTATATACGCAGCGTACGCACACATGCATAAAGATTTGGAGCGAAAGAAAATTAGGCGGAGAAAACAAACGCACGTGCATAAAGATATGGAAAAGAGAATAGTAGGCGCCGCAATCAAACGCAGAAGAAAGCTTCAGTTTTGGTTGCAGAGAAGGCGAGGCGCAATTAGGAGCAAAGATGATTCCAGAAATGCGAATTCACAGAATTACGATAGGTTCGAGCCTAGTTTTGGCTGCGGTATTTTCTTAAACTGCTTTCCTATCGATGATCATATGATGCGAAGACCCCCTGTTAATTAATGTCAACGAAGCAAGTGATAGACCAGATAATATACAGGGTTAAGAAAATGAGAAGAATGACACTTGTCACACATTAAAAGTGTTAATTAAGGTGGACAGTCATATCGAATGAGGAATGGGCATGTAAGTGTATTATCACCATCAATGCTTACGTGAGCAATAATGAACGTCGCCCCGATCGTAAAGAAGGTACAAGAAAGGCGACTCCGATGGTACGGGCATGTTAAAAGAAGGGAAGAAGATCACGTCACTAAATTAGCAATGTCTGTAGATGTCCCCGGAAAGAGACCAAGAGGAAGACCAAAATTGAGATGGATGGATAAAGTTGAGGCAGACTTGAAAGAACTCGAAATTGATGAACATCAGGCTGAAGATCGTGAAAAATGGAGAAGACTTATAAAAGTAGTGGAGTAGACATGATGATGCACTGTTACGGTTTATGTTGTCTGTAATCTTGATCAACAATTTCTTTTCTCTGTTCTTTTGTGGAACACCTAGCAAATCAAATGATACTGAGAGAGTAGCAGACCCCGTATGCGTATTGTATTAGGGAACAATGCAAGGATAAAAAAAAATGCTTACGTGACAAAAGTCCCTCAAACAATGCGAGGCCAATGTTCTTCGCGAATGTTTTTTAACGGAAAAAATCTTGCCAATGAAAAAGCATCAAGAGTGATTGAAATGAGATTCCACGCTATTCATACCTTACCTTTTCTAAATCTACCCGTGGATGCGCCCGAATGCGGCGCTTCCGCGAAAAAAGTTGTTGTGCCCGCTCGCATTACAGAATTCACAGGCCCAGCTTGCACATAGGAACCCGTTAGTTAGGCTGGCCACTAAAATCACTTAGCGCGGCCCTCTTGCACGACACAATGCTCTGATGTGAAATGTTGCGCCTTAAACATCGGTCATAAGCGATTTTGGTCGTGTGCGTCGCGGCCACCCACTTCCTATTCTCTCGCGTGCAAGCTTTCAAAGGCAGCATCCGGGCAAAATTTTAAGCAAAAATTTTTCTGCTCATCTGGACCTATTCTTCCCGCTAATTTCGAAAATGCAACTTGCAGAGTACGAAAATGTCGAAAACGAGCTATTTCAGAAGCTGTTGATTTTGAATATCTCAGACATTCGCGGTTGTCACCCGCAGGTTAAAATGGTGTGATCTCATTGACCAACGGCGCGTCACACGAAATCGGTGTCGGGACAAAATCAGGTCACCTGTGTTTGCAGCGGGGCGACCTGCGGGAGACACCATAATGCCCCGACAGGGCATTCTCCGGTCATTATCAGGGTGACCTGCGGAAACACCATAATGCCCCAATCCTTAAAGCAGCGGTTCACCCTGATGGGTACATATATAGTGGTATATATATATATATTAATAATAAGTATATAGTGGAACACACAAGTACAGAGTACATACTCTATACTGGTGTGTTTCACGTCTACCGCGCTGTCATCTTTCACTGTCCCTAACAAATCAAGCCATAGTATTTATTAAAAACTTCATGGTACAGCAAAATCTACATCAGCGCAAAATCAAATAAACTACATAGAGAGAAACTTGACAAAAAACAACTGGAATTGGACTAATGTGTATCGTACGCATCGGTTACTGCAATGTCGGCGTCCGTTTTTTCGATGATGTTCAAGTCAGTGCTCACGTTAGATGTCCTGGGCCGGTTCTTCTGAAAAACATCAGTATCAGATGCGTAAACTTTTTGAGACGAAAGTTTTACCTTTGACGCCTTTGTCGCATTCTTGTGCAAATTGTAGAAGTTCTTTGTCCGGTAGGCCAAAGGCGTCCAATACAAACCCTGAATAAATTATTCGAATTGATGTACAAAATGACGGAACAACCTACTTATTAGGAAATCCACAGTGCTTTTCGGGAGATGCTTAAATGGTCATTTTTTTCCTTTTTTGCCAGTTTGCCTACATGCATACTTTTGAGTTCCTCTGCCGGTAAGTCCAAAAAATTATGTGTAAGGCAAAAATTCTTTCAGCAGTGATCCCTTGCATTGACGAAATAGTGCCTAAGAAAATCAAAAACATGATGAAAATGCAGAAAATGATCATGTTTATGTGCGCAAGCCGATCTCTTCCGTTTTAAGATTTCAGTCAAATTCAGCTCCTAAAAATACGATGCCTTTCGTTAATTCATTTCATATTCAAAAACCTCAATCGGGCTGGGTTTTAAAAAGCAGACTTTCTTTTTTCGGTTATACAGACAAGAGCAATTGTGGGACTATGATTAAGCGAGTTAGAAAGCTGAATATCATTTTTTCCGTGTTTGAAAGATGGGTTCTGACAACTGCGATTTCTTCTTTTCGGTGTGGATTGTTGCCTCATCATGCCAAAATTCAAACAGCTTCTGATACTCGTTAATTTCGAAAAATTGCGATTTTTGGGTTACAGCGGCTGGTTAATTAAAATTTGAGCTAGATCACTTTTAAGTAATAGACGAAGTCAGAAAGGACCACAATGGAACAAAACAATGTGGAGAAGATGACTACCATCGAAACATGTATAAAATAGAGCAAAGAATGGATTTTTGGCAGCCCATCAAACTTCATGTGAGCCTTATTTGAACAAGAAGGATTTCGCCTTCTAACTCGCCCATTCTTGATCCCACGAATTCTTTTTCTGGTCTATCTGCGAAAAAAAGACCCCTCTTTCAAATACGGACCACAAACTTGCCAAAAAGTGACCCAACGAGAGCCGTGGACGAAAGTCCGCAAAAAACCATTGCATGCATTGTGGAAATTTCTCTGAAGAGTATAAATTCTCTTATCAAGGCCGGAAGCCAGAGCTATAGCTGGTCATTTGACTAGCTATGGCTTTGCAGACGGGAATTCAAAGATCTGATGGGGTACGGGTACCAAATGTGCATTTTACACCCAGATTTAGCTCTTTGTTTCCTGCATGAAAATAAATTTGAGTAAATTTTTTACACAGCAGCAGTCCATATACGGCTGTAACCGGTCTTACTTCTGTGAAACTGCGAAAACAAGCTATGGAAAAGCCCATTCTGCAGGAGAAATTTTCTTATAAAAACACATTTTTCGAACTATGACAATACTTCGGGCACTAAACTGTTTTTTTTTGCTGGAAAAGTATTGTGTCATAAGGATTTTCTCGTAAAATGACGTTTTCGCAAATTTTTGTTCTGCACGTGTCAGCTTGAAGCTACCCACAATAAGTAATGGATAGTATAAGTTACATGTTTTGACAGATTTTAGCTAGCTAGCGACGCCTCAACGGTTTGTTGAACCCGACACAATATACGATATTTCAAGTTTGTTTAAGCTTGTAGTTGGCTTGAAACTTAGTCAAATCAGGCTTGTGGTTAACAATTTGAGTCTAAACTCACAAAATTGCACTCCGCAAATTTGCTGAGTTGGAAGGAGTCCTGATGTAACCTACTGAATTGAGAAGAAAATGCTTATCTTCGATCTACAACGCCAGCGCAGAGATTGCAAGTGAAGTTGCCATTTTGGACGCGCGATCTCATCTGAACTGACAAACCGTCAAATCGATGTCCTACGAAAACGGTGACCTCACTTTTATTGATGTGCTGGTAAAATTAAGGAAAAATAATAAGCGAAATTGAATCAAAAGGCACCATTAAGTATGATTAAGATAGAGAAGGTCTGGTATAATGACAAGTTTATGTTATGAAAGAACACAAATGATCCCAAGGAGCGATTATAAGCGATGTATAAGAAAGAATGAAAGCAAAAACATTGAAGAAAAAGGCACCAATCAACAAAAAGCAATCACCAAGAGAAGACGACTATTTCGCAACATCACTATCATACACGCATGCGGCGTGCATTGGGGCAAAATCGCAGTAAAATCCGGTCAAAACTAAATTCATGTCTCCCGACGGTGCACCGGGTTTTGGTGCGATCAGCCATTTTGTGGGCGGTCCACCTGCGGGTGACAACGGCGAATGTCTGAGATAGAGCTTGTGGAGCCGCAGAGTCGTGGTGGGACCCTACGTCTTGACTGTGTGCGACTACGTACTCTGGCTATCGACTGAAGGGGCGGGCAGGTAGCCAGTCGCCACTTCTGAAGCGGTTCTCTCGCTTCAGAAGCAAATTGGTGCAATGCCACTTGGGCAAGGGCTTCATCGGGGCTCGAGCTACAATTTCAAGAGCTTCATCGGGGCTCGAGTACGCTACAATTTCATATCTGTCTGCTCATATCTTACTATCTATATCTATATGCTGCCTTTAAGGGGACTGCAAGTTTGTCGAAGCAACAAAATGCAAAGCATCGGGGGCATACTTTGTACGGTGATGTCGTCACCACAGCTAACATTAAGCGACACCATGATGCTGAGTCCGCACGAACGACGAGGTTTTCATTTCCTGAACAAATTACGCTATTTCTGAATTTGGCTGATGCACGTTAGGACTAATATACACTGTCCTGCTTTCGGAAAGAAAAATATGTGGAAGTGTCAACGGATTTCTGTTTATTTTCTGAAATCTGCTCCATTCTAATCGCTGCGTGTTCAAATTCACCGCTAAAATTGAAATGTGATTGGTACACTTTTTCTTTTGAGCATTTTTAGTCTGATTTCGAATCCACACATTGTTTTTTGTTGTTAACCGATCAAAGTTGAATTCCGCAGTTCAGTCAGATGCACTTATTCCTTCCATCTTTCTGCATAACTTGGAGTTTTCTTTCCCATACTACATCCGCTTTCACACTTTGACTCCTTATGCAAAGTTTGTTGCAAGGGCGACATTGGAAATTGTCATTTCTCAAGGCGCCTGGAAATCCTTTTCACTGCAAAAACACCGCCTTAAAGGCAGCGTCCAGGCAGATTGAACCTATGTTTTCTTCATTTCGTGTTTTTTTTTTGTTGCAAGTCAAAAGCAGAAAACTCTCAAAGTTTTAAAGGCAGCGTCCAGGCAGATCTGAACCTATGGGGATTTTACCTGGAAAGTACTTTTGGAACCCTAGCTAAGGCACTGCCCAAGCGGCAGCGCAGGTAATGCTCTAACGGTTGAGATATTCCCCTCAAAACTGGACCCCGCGATCGTATTTCGCATGGATTCATGGCGCAAAGCGTGGATCCTGGCGCGAAACTGCCATGAATCCATGCGAATACGATCGCGGGGTCAAGTTTCGAGGGGATTATCTTAGCCGTTAGAGCACTACCTGCGCTGCCGCTTGGGCAGTGCCTTAGTTAGGGCCCCAAAAGTACTTTCCACGTAAACACAATTTTCGAAATTCGAGTGAAACAGAATACGTGTGCCGTTCGCCAAATCGCGAAACCCAGTAAGCCAATGAGCAATTTTCTTGCAGTGACCGTTCTTTCAGGCATCCACTTACCGAACGATAAGAATCGCTACGATGACGTTACCGTAGGTATGAGCGATGGATGCCTTGGCCAAGAAGTTGTGCGTAGTGACCGCTTGCCGAGCATACTAGTGCAACCGGATCTGCTCGCAATTCAAATGAAATGCGGCGTACAGAAGTAGGGTATCCAAGGCAGATGGTGTAAATCGATATGGATGAAGTACCCTTAGTTGATAATCAACAACATTAGATTAGAGGAAAGTGGTTATAATCGGTCAGTAATCTGGCACAGTCATTTCTTGTTTTGGTAACATAAAATGAGTGGGAGGAAAAGGAAGTTTGATGGTAAGCACCATTTTCATTTCATACGTTGTCGTTGGATAGCATGTCTTCTTTGTTGATTGCTTCTCCTCTAATAGGTGTCCTTTTCTAGTCACTGGATTCCATGTAGTCTCAAAATGCACGCTTCAGTGGTGGCCTTCAATCTAAGTGGGTGTTTCAAAAGAAAAGAGCGACACGAGCATAGTGATGAGCGACATGAGGAAGTCAAAAAGTTTGTTCCTTTCTACTCGGACATAAACAATAATCGAATGCATGAGAGAAGCCAGACAAGATGAACGAACTCGCTGGACTTAGGCAATCCATCTTCTTTGCTGTAGTCTGTAAAACAGCTTTGAAAGCTACCCTTCTTTTTGTTCTGCATTGTACAAACGTTGGAGACCCTTGGATGCATTTGGAGAGAATGAATCATGCTATATCGATTCCAAAAATATGTCCTGCTGCTGCTTTCAGGGCCTTATCAATCCTCATCGTTCTAGATGAACCTCGCCTTTGTCAGAACAACCTGCCGAGGAAAGGGCAAGAACTCAACTCAGCCATTTCTAGCCTATGAGCGGACTCGCCTTGAAACGCTGATTTCAAGTTTAAGTTCAACACGCAACGACTACCTGCAAGGAGTTTCGTGCGTTTCAATCTGAGAAATTGTTCGAGTCTCAGCAAATACGTTCTTAAAAAGGCAGCCCATAGGTATACTAATTATTACTAGTAAAAAAGCGCATTTGCCAAAACCAAGCGTTTTCGATGTGTATTTCGTGGAATATGCACTACAGAATACTCGTCGATTCCGCGCATATAAGCGCTCATAACTCCTTCTAGATGGCCGTTTGGCAGATAATGTGTAGGTACATGTTTGAGCTGATTTCAGCTTGTTTGAAATTGCTAGATAAGTTCTGACCATTCCCTTGAAAGTGCAAACAATCACTTCCTAAGCTAACAATGCCAGCCATTTCTCAGGAGATAGAGTTCTAAGTATGATTACTACTGTTTGACTCGAAGTGGAGAAAAGTGCATAAATTAAGCGGTAGTCGATGACTAGACCATTCGCATTCCTTGACTTGGAAACAGAAAGTTGACATCTACTCATTTCGAAATTTCAGAGCGGTAGAAACAACACCGCCAAAGGTGGAGGGACTACAGAATGAAAAGAGCGGAGCAAAGTCCGCATCTCTACAGAAGTGTGAGTAAGATTTTTTGAACGTTATTCCTTCCGAATCTCTCAACAGTAGAGCATGTTGGAAGTGGCTGCAAACTACTCTAAATCATATCAGACAGAAATGGGCATCAATGCTGCTAAGTTCCGGTTTGGACTGAAGTGTTCGCATGCACCTGAGCTGTGGTTTCTGGCTGATTCGGTTTTCCCACATTCGAATTCCAACGATTAGTGCCTAGCACAACTCTTAACATGTCTCTGATTCAACAGGATTGGCGGCTGAAGGGCGGAGCTGCCTAGGTTCTGCATCTCTCTGAGGGACCGACCATACTATTCCGGGAGGTGACTTTTGCGATTCCTGTAATTAATGCAGTTCTTGAGATTTCTCGATTTCCGATCTGCCGCACTACGGCGCGCTTTGCGAATTGCAGTTCTTCGCAATATACACTGTTACGGGATCCGCAGCCATCAGAGAATCGGAACTGCAGGAACCACAGGAATAGTATGGCCTGTCCAGCGTGCTCTCTAATTACTTTCCCATGACGAGCGTGAAAAAGGCAAAGCTTCAATCACTAAAGAGCACGATCGCGAAAGAGGTGCAGAGCCAGGCAAGGCGGGCGCGAAGACTGAGCCTCACCCACCAGCCGCCAATCCCGTTGAGTCAGAGTTTAACTTCCATCGCTTCGGGTGCAAAGTGCTTATTTCTGAGCTTCATCTGTTGGTGACTAGCGAAAGCAAAGTGGGTTTGATGTAAGATAGAGCGACCTGACCTTTGAGATTATTCTGTTCTTCAAAACCTAAAGTTGCGCCTATGAATCAGAGGGTTCGCAGGTGTGCAAACTAGTGACTCTTGAACAATGGGACAATGGGAATTGACAATCTTCCGTGCCTCCGTTTCTGGCCAAATGCCTTAATCGTAGGTATTGCTAAATGTTACATTCATCAACTTCTGCTTACAGTACAATACCGCTCACATTTTTTGAAAAGTAGACGCGAATGTATGGACATGTTTGGACATGTACGGACATGTCCATACATGTACGGACATGTCCATACATGTATGGACATGTACGAACATGTACGTACATGTCCATACATTCGCGTCTATTTTTCAAAAAATGTGAGCGGAATTGTAGTCGCTCATTAGAATGCGTGCTACTCAAATCCGATGATTATCCATGCTTGCAACAGCGTTATGTCAAATGTAAGCTTGTCCAATTACTTTGAACCGTAAACACGATTTTTGGGTAGCTCCGAGTCCAAATAGCTTGGTCACAGGAACCATATTTTGCTGGAATCTTTCTGTGCTGTTACCCTTTCACACTGCAAACTGATGTAAAATTTCATGAACCCACACGCCACTTACCTTTCGAGGATGATACTACTAAATCATTGTAACCTTTTATAAGTTCCAACACAAAAGTCTCTTTTCCGGACTAGCATGCTGCTGAAAAAAAAATTTGTGATTGACTTTCTTCCGGAGTCACCAGATGCTTGCTGTCAATCTTGTAAATCGCATGTCACATATCAGCTCCTCAAACTAACGAAACTGTGCTATATTTCAGTTCTCACTCTAGCACCTACACAAAGTGCGGATCAAGATGAAATAGAAAGGTGCGATTAATTATTATAAGGTTCAATGCAAGAAAAGACCATGTAAACACAGTCTGAATTTAGCAAAATACGAAGCTTTGAAAGCACCAAATCATGTTTTAATCATCATTTTTCCTCGTTTTTCTTTCATTTCTATCCAAATATTGATCTTTTATGTGATACATCTATATAATATGATGTACGACCTTATACAAATCAATTGCTATATATATGCTATACAGAGATACAAAAATATAAAGACGAGGTTCGTCTCAATCTTTAAGCCTCCTAAACGAAAAAAATATGTTTGTTACGATAATGATGTATTAGGTTGCTCAAAAGAAAACCCCTTTTTTGGATAAATCAAACTGATTTTGTTTTTGTAGGGGGCTTAGGGTATCAATTGAAAGAAAACAAAACAAGCTCTACACAAATACCACCATCGCCTAAGTCGTAGTCCATGTAAACTTTGGAGCCAAAATCGAAGAAAAATTCAACGTCTAAAATCTGGATTTTTGCGAAGAAAAACGGTGCCAACCTCAAACTTGGTACTTATACAGAAGACACATAGTAGTACTCAAATTTGCCTTTGCTGTTTTTTTGCGCTTAGAGAGCGAGAAAAGAAAGGTAGTCCAAAAATGGCGAATTCCTCCCGCCCCTCCCACCTTGTCATTGTGTACTACAAGTCTTGGTAAGTATAGCCATGAAATTTTACCTTCGCTTGTGCTTTGGCATTCGAGAAATACCAGGTTTAAAATAAAAACCCCAAAAAAGTGGTGTTTTGGCATTCTCGAACCCTCTTTATTCCTCAATTTTGAGTCCCGAAAAGAATCCACTAAATATATTTTTCATTACCACTATGTGTCCATTGTATAATACCCAAAAGGCAGGTCCGTAGGGATTTTCTGAAAGGAGATTTAATTTTTAGGGTGCCCAAAAAATTCTGATTTTTGGCTCCACATTCTACCTGGATTACGAGTTAGGCGAAGTTTGGTGGTCATTCGGTAGAGCTTGCTTTGCTCTATCAAATAGTACCTTGTCTGCTAGGAATACTAGCCTGATTTATTTCAAAAGGGAGTTTACTTCTAGGGCAGCTTAATATACTGGGTACCATAACGAACGACCCAAGGGTGGGTGTCGTTATGTTGATACTCTACTATGGTACAGTGATTTACATGCTATCAAAAGCTTGAGTCGCACTAATCTGACTAGACTGAAATGACATATTATGAGCTCCCTTACTTTATGCATATAAACGTTTTTGCCTCAAATAATTCTCAGACTTTTGCTTTAGTTCTCAACGAAGCGCACCAGCATCATTGAGAGGAGAAAATAGACAGGTAAAATTTAGGTCTTAACAGTAGCTTACAGTACGTACTTCTAAACACAAGCATTTTCAGCCAAGGGTAGCGTCGCTGAAACTTGAGCGATCATTGCCGACTTTTAATGACATTGTTCTTGTAAACACCATTGTCAGAAATCTTCTTCCACAGAAATCTTTAGGAACAAGTTTATGATTTGTGAAAGTTCAAATAGACACATAGACCTTGCAATCGACGAATAACCTACTCAAGCAAATTCCTCATTTTATAAGTTGTTATCGACGGGATGCAAGTTGTTGTCAATTACTCGAATTTGATATAAAGGATAAGGGAATCGGCATAGTTGAAGAGGCAATTGTATGCATGCGAGCCTTTGCAATGACTTGCGGGGGCCAACCGATTACCAAGTCAGCGCTTTTATCCTTCCAGAATTACTCTGGTACCAATTTACCATCCCCGAAGGCTAGAGGGCTTGGTTGACCCAGGGCGGGATCGAACCTGGGTCCAATCTGGTCATAGCGGCGCCTCAGAACACTACGCCACTCGTCCTCATCAAATCCGACCTAAGCATACCAAATACTTCTTGCTGAAAAGTGATAATGAAAAGCAGGAGGATAACTCAAATACCTTACCTAGCGTCTTGAGCTCAGGCTTGATGTTTGATTTCAAGAAACACTCAGAGCTGATAGATACTTCTTATGTATGGTTTCACTCAACTAATTGACTTTCATCACTACTACTATCGCAACTAAACCAATGTTTTGTACTGTTATTTCCAGCAAGTCAAAGAGAAAGTTGTCGTGAAATCATCTTTACAAGAAGTGGCGTCAACGCCAAGCAAGTGAGTAATTCACTCTTATCATAGTACTGATATTTCTAAAATGAGAAACACTTCGCAACCAGTGAACAGTGTCAACACTGGCTTGGAGCTTTGTGGCATAAAAACGATAAATGTTCAGCTCAGTAATAAAAGCTCAGAAACGCACGCATTATCATCGACATCTGTAAAACATGGAACAGTCTATCTCCTTTACCCAAGAGTACCTACATCAGCGTTTTATACCTATAGCTTAGACCTAGAAAGAGATGTTTGGTAGTAGTGAGCAAATGACTTGACGCTTTTCCGGCTTCGGACATAGTTCACGCAATTTCGTCGCCCCACGCGATTTACAGACAGACAACTGTTACAAGTCCTTTGCATGTCAATTACCTTGCATTTCAGTTTTGTTATAGTTAACCACGATTAGTCATGTCGGAATATCACAACCGATATACAGGAGGACCGGAATGCAATGGACTCCAATTTTCTCTTGCTATATTGGCTGAGACATTCCAAAGAATAGCAGCATGATTTTTTTTCAAGCAAATTTAATAACGAACCTTCGGTGCCGAAGCACGTCCCCTTCCAACTCTCCCAAATGAGTGCATAGTCAGTAGTTGAAAAAAACTATGAAAAGCTGTATCAATTCCTTGCTTTCGAAGACGAAGAATTTTTGATTACCTAAGGACTCTTTTGTGTAAGAACATATGCTGTTTTTCAGAAAAACGACTGTGCCTCAAAGCCGATCTGTAGATGGAGCAAAGGTTCAAGTGAGCGCTCTTTGCTGTGAATGTTCAAAGCAGGGGACTAAGGCTTTCTTCTCAGAAAACAACGTCTCGAACTCAGTCGGTACAAAACATGGCCACTTCTCGTAACGAAAGACCACGAAGTGGTGTCGCTGCAAGAACTCAGTTCTCAACTAGTGCCAAATCTAATAAAAGCATACAGACCGCCAGATCTGTAAACTCCAAGTCCAGTTCAGTGCAGAAGAAGTCGTTCATGCAGAGGATAGGATTGAGTAAAGGTAAGAAATCCCTTGTTTAAGTCCCTTGTTGTTTGAAGTGTGTAGAAATGACTGAAACTAGTGTCCCACATAGGCCGATCTGCCACGGTGACAAAAATGCAGACACATGTCATAAGTCTTGTTCAGGAAGTTCGAGGAAATCTGCTTCGACGCAATCTGCACCGAAGTCAAAACAGAAAACAATTTCGAGAAGCACGCAGTCTGGAAAGTCAAGCAAGAAATCAAAATCGGCGAAAGCTGGCTCACAAGTATCCGGAAAATCGAAATCTAAGAAATCCAAATCCACAATGTCCGCGCCAAAATCGAAGAGTGGGAAAATTAAACAGAAGAAAGTTAGCAAGAAAAGTAAGACATACAACCTTATTAAGGATTCAACTTTGAGAGAACACTGCTCAAAGACAGGAAAACTTATCTGTAATATGTTAACTCTTGTTCTTGATCTCACTCTGTCAAAAGTATAGGTTACTTTCTGCTGGTTGTCATATGAGATAAATTCGCATTATGTGACACAATAGGAATGTTTCAATAAGAAATGCTTTTCAGGTAAAAGAAGCAAGCTTCTGTGCTGCATAGCTCCAAATCAATCGAAAGGTTAGTATCAGAATTATAAATTTTCAAACGCTAAATTTCTCCACATCAGTTTTCATTTATGTAGGACGTGGATGTAATAATTTACAGGTTAGTAACACGAAAAGTGATCTCCCATGTGAATGGGATGGATTTTGAAAGCGGTTGGCCAAAACAAAAAACTCATGAATTACCTTTTTTCGTGTTTTTTCTGTGTCGCAGAAATCTTTGATAAGAAGACAAATCCTGCAACATTTGGTGCATAAACTTTCCCCGTCCTAGTGCTAGCTGCTGATTTTGAGCAAAGCAAGTTGTCGCTCTGACTATGATTCAATTTAGCATCAAGCATCAGATTCTCTCTTGTTTTGTTTTTACACTAATCTTGAAGCGATGTTCCGGAACCTTTGTGAACACTGAAATCTCATTCCAAATTCCGTCGCAAAATTTGCCTTAAAATGTAGGAACATAGACCGATTTGACAATCTAATTAAGGTAAAAGGCGAGAAAAGCTTACAGTTCCGTCTTGCGATCTAGCTAGCTCATAGCTGTGCTATATCCACAAATGTATTGCTTGAATTACGATTGAATCTAGCTAGCAGCTTGAGTTCAAATAGTCACAAAAAGATTTTTTCCAGAAGTTCCACTGAAGAGTACATCAGTGTCACAGCGTAAGTTGATATGATTGCAATATGATTTTTAATTATTCGATACCGTATGTCGTGGAGTCAAAGCCCTTCGCTGTAGTATGTTAAAGAGCATTGCGAATCTGCTCGATTCTGGGCTCCCACAATCCACCGCTGCTAAAATTAGTTGGCTTCGCTTTCTAGCTGTTTTTCGTCTGGCTTAACTTCGCAGGCTAGAATGAAAGGCAGTACTTTGTCCAAGGCAGGGCTTTTATTCGCATAAATAATCTGCTTGGATAAGGCTATGGCTTTCTAACTTTGGAGCGCACGATACAATTAAACATCAATAATTCCGCTCAAATAACTTTTTTGTATTTGTATTGCTTAAATTCACTTTGGACAACAGTCTTACCCAAATTCCAATGACTTTACTAAAGTTGAAGTTTATATCACAAAAGTGCATTGCCCGTGACAACCCTATGAAAAAATCCTAGAGAGGGTCAAAAGGTTTTAGTGCTGGTCTCCGCATTTTTCGAACCATGAAAATAGTTAGGTTACCAACGACGAAAGAAGAGTTCTTTGCAACGACCCTTTAGCTTGTATGTGTAAAAGGAGAGAGAACATCATGTATACATGTTCCTAGCAAAAACGCCTTTTTTCCCTACACCGCTTTCCTCTGAATCCGCGCGTATTTACCTCACTTCCGTCCACTCATCGTCCGCTATTATTTGAAGCAATACCCTTACACAATCGAAAAACACCTCGTATTTTTGTGCACAGTGCTAGTCTTACACATCTTCCGCTGCTTCTAGCTTGCAACCGGTCTCAGAACATACCTTGGACGTTAAAATAGGAAATGAATGTTCGAACCGGATGAAAATTAGGATCCGATACTCTTAGGTGACGCAACACCACTAGGATGAAACACTCATTATTAGAAGGCTTCAGTCAAGTTGTTTACAAGGAAGGACTAGGGTTTCACGTTGCTCATAATGACAAAGGATAAACCTCGCTGCCTTCACGACCTGGATCTTCGTCTTTTTTCTCTAAATTTCACATTTTTCAAACCTGCTGCTCATTTTTGCGAAGTTAGTCATGCTTCACGCGATCTTTGCAAGAGTGATGCAAAACGGAAAATCCCAAATCTTCTCCAATTAGTTAACAGTATTATTAAGCAAAAGAGCATGAACTAACTGAATGCCACTTTAAACAAGCACTAAGAAATTTGGGAATTTAAGTTGACGCAAAACAGCCTTTTTCCGCAATTTTTAGATGGTCGTTTTAATACAAAATATGGGTTCCAAATCTTGAGATAGCGCAAATGTGACACAATATCAAAAGTTAAGAAACTCGGCAAATCAAATGACCATTCCAGAAAGGCCGATAGCAGCTGCTGCTCAATGATTACTCAGTGATCATGAACTGACATGAAGGAATTTCCCATTGATATCCGTATTACAAATAAAGATGGTAAAAACTTTTTCTGTCTACTCTGTTCACGTACATGATATGTACACTAACAAACCTCTTCATTCACGTATGATGCACATGGCCTCGGAAAAACGAATGACACCAATGAAAACACAAAAAAAGCAAACAGCGAGTCGGAAGATTCACACAGAAAGAAAAGTAAGTGACCTCAGAACAATAAGTTACTCCTAAAAAAACGTACATTACTGCAACTTCTATTTGTACACGAAAACTGTGATTGAGCATGAGTTACTCGAATTATCAGTGTTAGCAAGGCGCCGCCACTGAATTAGCAGTAAACGATGAGGAACACAAACCGACGCAACTCGAGCTAAGGCAGTAAGTAACGCAACACCCACTCGTATTTGACAAGGAAGTAAACAAAACATGAACACTGTACATGATCGCAACAAACATTACACTTGAGGAGGAGATTCGGAGGAGACCAGGACGCCGCTCTACTGAATGCGGCAGGCATCGTCGCGGCCGTTGAGAGTGTCGCCCACTTTGGCTTGGTAGCAGTCCTGCACCAGGTAGCGAATCGCGTCCAAGTCCTGCTCCAGCTTTGCCATGCTTTCTTCTTGTCGTCGCATCTTTAAAATGGAGTAGTTATATCAAGTTAAGTTCCTGGTCGCGTGAGAATTGAGCATATAGGTGCCACACTTTGTTATTACACTCGAGATAAATTTTTGCCAAAGGGGTTGTGGGGAATGTGCGATAACCGCTTTTGGCTCAAGAACTCTACTGGGATATTCCCTGATTATAAGGATAAACTAGTTGAAATCCCATATCATAACATTGTTAGTCGTACTCTTTCGCTATGAAAAACCGCCGCGCTTTGACTTTGCAAAATCCATCTCCACAGAAATCTGGGAGCCGAATTAAAATGTTGCCGATTTATATTTGAAAACATTGCCCAATGATACGTATCCTAAAATGCAGCTAGTGTAGCAATAGCTTTGCCTGCTTAAAATCGTTGAGTTTTCACAGAATCTGAAATAAGGAGTGGTTGTGTATCAAAGAAGAGTTTTTAGAGCTCATCTCATTATTTTGTGAAAGTTAATATAGGCAAGAGCCCTACTACAGTGCTGGCCAAAATTATAGGTCCACTCAAAAAAATGCCATAACTCACTCTGTTGTGAATGAAATTTTTCAAAATTTGGTACAGACGTGTGTTTACCAGCCTATTATCAGTCTTCAAAACGGTTCTCGTTTTCGTTTGATTATTCAAGAAAAAATTAGAAGTTTTGAAAAAAGCAGGCTTGAAGGCTGGCCAAAATTATAGGTCCACCTGGAGTTTTTACTGATTAGAGCACTTCTTAGCTCCCGAATTTTTTTAGGTAGGCACACATTCAAAAACGTTAAGCAGCTGCCTTGGTCAAGCTGTGTCATACCTCCAAAGAGAACTGATTATCTGTTTTTTTGCCTTGAAGATGCACTCACATGTATTTCGCTCCACAAACCTGCGTTGAGTAAAAAATTCTGCAGTTTCTCAGCTGGATCGGAAGGGACGGGGTCTCATCTATCTTCTGGATGCTTTTTGACGTGAGCATTGAGGAAAAAATCCGACTTTTTGCTGCTGAAGCAAATCTGACATCGGCTTAATTGGCAGAGTAAGCCTCAGTTTCTGCTCTAAAACCCTTTATGCATTGTCAATAACCTCAAGATATTGTAGAAGCATTCTTTACACAAGAATAAAGCTGTTCGCCATACTCGCAAGTGTCCACAAAGCTGCCTTGCTTTTTTTCGAAACATGAGTTGTGTGTGCAACGTAATAATGGTGTTACGCGATCCAAAATAGCTTTCCAAGTGCTACCTCACTTAGATTTTTGACAGCAATTATTTACTAGATAGTGGATACAGCTTGCAGTGTATGTTAGCACATGATTCTTCTGAAAATTTTGGACGGAGCCACAAGTAGCTTTGGTGCTTGTCGTAATTAGTTTCTGCAGAGTGATTTCAGTAATTATACTCGAATGCTAGGATCTCTAGAAAGTTGTAACTGTGGTATATGGACTCTCCTTCATAGAAACAATGCCTTTACTTCACTCAATGCTTCTGAAAACATTGTAAAAGAAGTTTGAAGGCATTTGAGCTTAGGATTGCAGTACTGTCAATGTCAGATCTGCTTCAGCAGCAAAAAGTCGGATTTTTTCCTCAATGCTCACGTCAGAAAGCATCCAGGAGATAGATGAAACCCCGTCCCTTCCGATCCAGCTGAGAAACTGCAGAATTTCTTACTCAACGCAGGTTTGTGGAGCGAAATACATGTGAGTGCATCTTCAAGGCAAAAAAGCAGTTAATCAGTTCTTTTTGGAGGTATGACACAGCTTGACCAATGCAGCTGTTTAACGTTTTTGGATATGTGCCTACCTAAAAAAATTCGGGAGCTAAGAAGTGCTTTAATCAGTAAAAACTCCAGGTGGACCTATAATTTTGGCCAGCCTTCAAGCCTGCTTTTTTCAAAACTTCTAATTTTTTCTTGAATAATCAAACGAAAACGAGAACCGTTTTGAAGACTGATAGTAGGCTGGTAAACACACGTCTGTACCAAATTTTGGAAAATTTCATTCCCAACAGAGTGACTTATGGCATTTTTTTGAGTGGACCTATAATTTTGGCCAGCACTGTATATGATAGGGCTGGAAAAAAAATCAGCAAATCGTATAAAAACTGCGAATAGCTCAACAACTTGTAGATTACTGCAAGGATATTCAAACGAGCTTTCGAACGATGCAAGAAAGTACCGACTTCCCGAAATTTTGCAGAACCACATTTTGATCGAAAATTGAAACCTTGAAAACGACTTATATGCAAGGTTGAAAAGCTGAAGTTGCAAAAAGATGTGCTCCAGATTCCAACAAAAAAAAATTTCTGTATAAAAAAATGAAATTATACCACTTTCTTGTCAAAACCCACGCTAAGTATGGAAGAGAATGTGTGAGAATAAATTTATGAGTTTTCTCCTATGTATAAGAATCACTGAAAAGGCTATGTGGCTATGAGTCTGCGCAATACAAAAAGTAAAAATGCTAATCAGTAATTCTAACTCCATCTTATCAAGGTATCACCGGACAAAAAATTACAAAAATCAAGGTTTCATAAACCAAACAAACCAGGCAAAAATTCTCAAAGGCGCTCCAAAGAGGAAAGATTAACTGAAAATCCGCCACAAATCGCACCCAGGAATGTGTGTCTGTTTTCATTATTGGTTCAAAAACGTATTTTTCTTTTTCTCCATGAAAATCAGGAAGTTACAATTCCTGACCCATCACTCGCTGTACCGCCACCACTTAACCTTTTTGCGAAAAGCGTATGTACACAGAATAAGCGGGTAAATGTAGTAAAAACCAGGAAAAGTCGCAACTTTCGCAGTGCAAACGAATTGAGGTAAGTGGCACAATGGTACTTGAACTTATTCAAAAACATATTAGGTTGTCAAGAAAATAATGTCGTTTTTTATTTGCTTGCTTTGACAAAGCAAACAGGCTCAACCCAACAAAGGGTAAGGGATACCGTTCGATAGAGCAAAGCAAGCTCTACAAGGGCGTTCATAATAGTGCGCCAAGTTCGATCCACGGAAACTTCTAACTCAAAATCTAAAGATCTCCAAATGCCCAAAAATCGAAAAAAATCAGATCTCCGTCCAAATAATTTCTACGGACCTACACTCACACACTTCAGTACTTTCGATATCAGACACCCATACGTGCAGTTGTTGTATCTTTTCCCCGATTACGAATTGAGAAAACGAAAATTTTAATGATGTTCTCTAAGCAATGCTGAGCAGTCTTGCACATGTAATTCTATACTACAAGCCTAAGTTAACGTAACTGTAGATTTTCAGCCTATTCCGAGCGGTAGTTTTCGAGAAATGTCGATTTTAGCACTACTGAAAAAAAGGGTGCTGAATCCAATATTTTTCGAGAACTACCGCTCGGAATGACCTGAAAATTCGCAGTTATACTTAACTAGGCTTGTAGTATAGAACTACATATGCAAGAACGGCTCATCGTTGCTTTGAGAAAATCATGAAAATTTTCGTTTTCTCTGTTTCTAGTCAAGGAAAAAACACAGCAACTGCACATATGAGTGCCTGATATCGAAAGTATTGATGTATGTAAGTGGGAGGTCCGTAGAAATTATTTGAACGGAGATCTGATTTTTTTTCGATTTTTTGGGCATTAGGAGATCTTTAGATTTTGAGTTAGAAGTTTCCGTGGATCGAACTTGGCACACTATTATAAACGCCTTCTTGTAGAGCTTGCTTTGTTCTATCGAATAGTATCCCTTACCCTTTGTTGGGTTGAGTTTTGCTTTGTTAAAGCAAGCATATATAAAACAACATTATTTGACAACCTAATACTTTGGAAAATTGAGATGTGTAAGAAAATAAATACGCCTACCATCTTTTCTGCGACTCCCATGGTCATCGCCGTCGAGTCAAAAGCGACTTGTTCGGCTTCACTTTCGGACATCGAATCCGCTGAAAACCAAATGTTATCCGCCTGACAGTTGCGTTATGCAAGAAGTCTGTGCAAGATATTGCAAAGAATGGAAATGTTTGACCATTTGTAACAGACTCACAAGGGAATGGTCAGAATTCGAAGTGGCCAATCCATACAAGCTGCATACCATTAGAAGCAGCATAAAACGGTGACTCTAAATCTGTCTTCCTTATCTGCAGAGCGCTTTTGTGGACGAAATTATAAGCCGTTGAAGGCCATTATTTTGCTAAGAAATTGTGCGTGTAAAGTGCAAACTTGGCCGTACAAAGCCATTCTCGGCTCAGTGTTGGACCAAAACATGCAACTAGGTCACTTCATATGACCCATACCTAGAGGTGAGCTAAAAGAGCAATAACGTGCCCAATTTCGCAAATTTTGTGTACGATTTTTTCGCAGTAAAGCTGCTCATAACTTCGCCTACGAGGGCGCTCTGCCGATATGGAAGACAGACTTGAAATCAGCATTCTACGCTGCATCGAATGGTATGCAGCTTATATGGATTGGCCACTTCGACTTCCGACCATTCCCTTGTCAGCTGAATCCCTAGTAAATTAGTTGTAGCTATAATTAGCGAGCAGAAGTGTAAACACTAACTCTTAATTCCCAGCAAACGGCTTATGTCCGGATTTTCGCCTCGTGCCAGTCTTTCCACTGTCTCTTTGAGACACTTGACAAGCAAGCGACTGTCTACCAACTTCTTTTGTATAGATCTGGAAAACACAACATACGAGACCTGTCAACTACATAAGCAAAAAATGATAGCAACTTTTACCTCAAGCTCCTGCTCATAGCAGCAGATACATCGTCTCTACGATTGCAATTTGCATCGATCGCATAATTTGAGAGACTTTTTGTTAAACCTCCTCCACTTTTCGGCCGAGGTGTTGGACTCAAATTGGCACCCAAGGTAGAATGTGCCTGCAGAAAATGTTACAAATTACTAAGGGCCATTGTAGGCATAACTTCTACAAGCGTCGCGCGGCTGTACTCTCACGTATCTATATATTCTCATGGAATTTGGGTTGGCTAAAAAATCGATCGTTTTTGGCAGGTTTTAGAACGCTTCAACTATTTTCTTGTGATGTTGGAAATCGTGACCAAAGGACAAATCAGATGTGAAGCTCTGTTTGACTAGAGATCATTTTTTATAATATCACTGTAGTGCAGGCATACCCAAACTTCTGAAAAATTCGAAACCTCTGTTTTAAAAGCGGACTGAATTGTGGAGAATGGAGAACTGGTACACATACGAATTATTTCCATTCTCGCGGTAAAATATGATCAAATTCAAACGCTGTGGACTACCCAAAATTGACTTTAGCGTACACGAATGCTCGGAAATTTTGTTTATATACAGAAATTCATAGACTGCAGGTCCCAACTTACATGGTGTTCGCTATGTAGCCAAAAGTTGCATGTATGCAAAGACCAGATCAATCGTCTATGTGTCCGTTCAACAAAGCATGAGAGAGCTTAGCAAACGATTTGGTGATTTTAGAAGGCTAACTATATAAGGACATGAATGTTTACATTTCTGCTAAAAAAATAAAAATAAGTCCGAATGACAATAGAAGATCAAAGCTGTCTCACAAGCAAACTTATCTAATTAACAGCTGCGCGAATTTTCGGAATTCAAATAAAGTTTCGTATCATGTCAAAAAACTACGCGCCAATCTATAGTTTTTGAAAGATTTGCACTCAATCTTTGCTGCTATTATCTTTGTTTCATTGCTGTACACTAACAAGGGAAGGAAGGTTGGTCAAAGTGGCTTTTTGAAAAGAGGTGTATATTGCCTTGTAAAGCTTGGAACGCTGATTCCAAATTTACCTTTGCTATCTGCTGTGGCCTTCTGGGCGACGAGTTATGAAGGTTTTTGTGAGGAAAAATCTGGATGCGAAAATAGGGTAAAATCAATCGTAACCATTTTCCAATGTTCAGATGAGGCAGCAGCGAAGTGGTATACTTTTATTTGTAGCACCGAGTGACCCCGACTACCAATTAAGCCCTATAAAAAATGTTACGACTGATTTTAGCCTACTCTCGCATTCAGATTTTTGATCACAAAAAGCTTCATAACTCGTCGCCCAGAAGCCCGCAGCAGATAACAAAAGTAGATTTGGAATCAGCGTTCCAAGCTCTACAAGACAGTATACATCCCATTTCAAAAGGCCACTTCGATCAACCTTCCTTTCCTTGTAAGTAAATACGACGTGATGAAAGCTGACATTAAGTTCTTTCAACACTTCACTTTCATACCACCCCTGTCAAGCGTATTCACAATTCAGTCTCATAAATATGAATCAGTGGCGCGTATCGAGGGGGGGGGGGGTTATAAAAATGTGCAAGTGATTTGTTTATACTTGTACTTAATTAAAATAGCTTTTGAAACTTTTCAAAAATTCATTTTAGCCTTATGATGTCCTCAAAAATCTGGGAGCATATATCAAATATATTTCCGGAGTGTGTGACTTACGCCACGAACCTTCATCAAAAAAAATTTTTTTTGCCCCCCTCCCCTCCTCCGAACAGAAATGTTAGATTCCTACTGATGTAAATGTAAAACGGTGCCTTAGAAAAACGTAAAAGTACGTCAATAAACAGTGAATCATGCTCCACGAAAGAACATATTAGTTCAAAATCTCACCTTAGTGTAGGGTCGGGCCGGAGTAAATGGTGGTCGAATATCTGCAAGAGATTCTGTTTCATCTGCTAATGGCGTGGACCCTGATGAACACGATTGCTGATAGAGTGTGGCTTCCATTCGCATAGACTGTAAAGATTTGACTAATTGATGCTAAGACTAATAAAAACAGCATCAGTACCGCAATGTGCCTTTCCAGTTCTTTTACAGTATTTTCCTTGGAATCCAATGTCTGGCTAAGGGTGTCGTTTTGTAGTTCCAAATAGTCAAGTTCTTTCTTCATTTCGTCATAGCTCTTTTCAAGTTTCTCTTTTTCATTTACTTCGCTTCGCAACCGCGTTAACTCCTTCTCCTGCGAAAAAGGAGCTTGCGAGGTTTTTTTCTCGCAAACTCTTTGCGTAGCTTAACTCACTTGAGTCCTAAGCTTCTCCTGCATCTCAGCAATTGCATTCAGTTGCCCGCTGTCAAGCGACTTAGCTTTTTCCTGATACTTAGCCGATTCGGCTTCGAGATCGTTCAGTCTGCAAAGAGTATGATGCGAATCTGACAGCATGATGGGGGTATTATGGCGCTTCAACCGCACGAACTTGTTTACAACGCGGACCAGTTCCTCCTTCGCTTGCTCCGAGTCTTTCTTGAATTTCCGCACTTCTTCGTCATAGTCCGCTTGCTGGCGTTCCATTTGAGAGTACGCCTTTCTCAGTTTAGCCTATGAACAAACCTTTTTTCTAGGCACATAAAAATGTTTACGTGCACTTTGAAGCCATACCTGGAGTCGCTCAATTTCAACTTCTTTGCTAACAACTTCTTTCGCCATGAGTTGTTGGGTGACGGAGGTAGAAGGTGACGAATTGGAGATGATAAGCTGAGTGGGCGGCGGAACGAGTGATTGGCGATTGTGACCATCTGAAGTAAACTGCTGATTAAAAGATATTCGAGCTTGGGCCCACTTGAGAAAATCACATATGTATTCGAAATAACACCACTGCCTTCGAACTGAATCTCACAAAAAATGCTCAACTCGAGCAGCTATTGTTTTCAACAGGTAAAGGTAAAGGATACGCACGTGCGCTGTAATCGAAAACAAACCTTATCGCTTCAAGTACAATCGCAATCGTCATTTAAATGTGCTCTGTCTACCAAAATGCTCTCACGAACTCTTGTACAGGAAAAAATTGTTCAGCTTTCGGTACTTTGTAGGCTCCAGACGCCCTTGCACATGCACTGACGTAAGCGAACTAGGTCTTCACGGCCAGGGATTTTTGAAAGTTTGTAAAACGGCTTTCTAGACAGTATTTGGCAAGCCTGAGAATTACACGTACATCCCTCCTTTATCGAGATGACACCAACTAAAAATTAACTCAAAAAGCTATGAGATTGCGATGAAGTAATCAGCCTGGATTTTCATGAGTAGTGATTTATCTTGGAAGGAAAAACCTTTACTGACACCATATAGGATTCAATGTAGCAAACAACAAAAAACATACACGATGTATTCAAAAAACCACCCGCTTTTTTTTCGCTCAGCTATTCCGCACCATAAAATTTAAACGCAATTTTTATTAGAGTTTCTGTCGCCCATGATCGCGCAGGTGATGGAACTATGCAACTTGCTTTCTGGCAGTTGTAAGCGAAGAAGCGGCTGGAAGCAAGGCCATACAAAGGGTGGCAAAATTAATTTGAGACTGGCCTTGATTTTGTTTTATGAAACTTCGGATATCTTATGTGTACAAACTACGAGTCAGATTTTTGTCTATCTATAAGAAGATGAAGCAGCCCTTGCAAACGGTAGGAAACGCTATGTATGGATGAACTGATTATGGATATGGATCACGTGTTATCCTAGTCTATTATTGACTGGTTGGAGCTCTAACAAATTATAACGCTCCTTTGCCCTCAACAAGTATTATGGAAGAGCGGCAGAACAAAAATATCGAAGAATTCGATGAGTTAGGTAAAATTCTCGAGCCCCATCCTACAACTGTTCAAACTTTCTCACAACCGGACAGATGTGTGACGACACCCACTGATGATGTGGTTCTCTTTCTTGCAGATGGAAATGATTTTAGCACATGGCGATAGGATAGTCTCTCGCTGCAAATGTCGGTGTCTTTCAAGGCTCGCTGTCGGTATTTACGATCGCTGCACTCTGTGATCATGACGCTGCAGAAATACGCGGAATCACAACAGGCCACTAGTTTGAGCGCATGATTCATATTCCTGTATAATTTGGGTGACAGACGAGATGTGATCGCACGTTACGTATATTGACACGCAGGAAGAGGCAAATACTGTAGGGGAAACAAGGATCCCAAGGGGGAACGATGACATATCCAAGAGTAGGAAATTACAGGTTATGTGTGCATGGAGAATCTTGAAATTGTATTGATGAGCTCAAAAAGGAAAACGAAAATATCGCACTAATATCGTTACAAACCATCGATTCATATGTATGTGAAGCGTCACCACCATGGAAGTAAACACATCCACACGAATTTTTAACGGAACTGGTTTGAATTTTCTAAAAAATTGGAGAATTGACTCGAATTTTCATGTGTAACAACAATTTACTTGCACATTTTATGACTCAGATGTAAATTTCAGAAATTTTGCGACTTATTTCCCCCCCCCCCCCCGCCCCCGCTCCTCCCTCCTGTGTCCATTTACACTTTTGAACTGCTAATGTTGAACTGCTAATGTCAAATTACTTTCGTTCCAACTCATAAGACACAAATCCCTCCAATATCGGGGATTTTCGTGGAAACGCGATGATTGAAATTCAGAACGTTTTGGACAGTACTCAGTACTAAATAAAGTTGCTCAACCTTTTCTCAGATCATCGCGCCATCTACAAGGTAGATCTAATATTCTTGAGAAGAATAGATTCTCCCAAGCTAGCCTTCGAAGAGAAGTTATGGAAGTGCATTATATTACTTTCACTTCTGCAGTTGTGCTGCAGCAGAAGCATTATGACGCATAATCTGCCGTCTATGGCCCGCATGCGATAGTCCTTCGCAAAATTTATGGCAATTTTACAGCGCCGAATGATATTCCGAGACACTTTGAAAGGCAAATCATGTTCACATATAAAAATCAAACAGAAGCTGAGTCATGCTTGGCGTTGCTATTATGCTGATGAACAAGATGCGTTAAAAGGTCACAAGTAACCCAGTCTACTAAATAAGACATTCTATTTATGTTGCTAAAGCGACTCTCCCACTCAAAACAGCTCCTGGAGAATGATCAGAATTGTAATGAGTGCAAATCACTCCAGCATCAAAAGAGCCCAGCTAGTAACCCCTTCCTCCGCGCACCTTCCTAGTTCAGGCGGGCCCATGGACTTACAAGTTAGCTGACATTCTAGGAAATGTCGGAAACAGAGGACTCGAGAGGATAATTCCTATTCAGTCCACCGGAATAATGCTGTCGGCTTTGAAAAGTCATGGAAATATAATGGCCCTCCCGAGAAGCTAATCGCTGGAATTTCTAAAAAACACCATTGACAACCCTCTGTACCTCTCGTTGCAGAGTGGGATATTAACCCATTGACGACGACGTGGCGCGATTTTAGACGACGCGATTTTGCAGGACACTTTCGGTGAGGAAAGGTATTGTGGTTATTTAAGAAGCAATGTTGTTTTGTGAACAATCATAAACATTTTCTTGACGCCGGAGTGTAGAAGCCCCGAGAGTGCAAAAAAATGGAAGGAATGTTGACATGTGGAAAAAATAAGATCTACAGATAATATCGCAAGAGGTGTAGGCCACCGGTGGTCCACATCGTCCCTGGCAGCAAAAAGTGCGGGTCCACCGGTGGTCCAAATTGTCGTCAGTGGGTTAGTGACAGTGTAAGCCGAAATAATGGAAATGAACTTATTCCATACAGAGCATGTGCGATTTTCTGAAGTGTTTTTGCTTTCCCCCCGCTAGGTCTACAAAAATTTCACGTTCTAGGTAAACATTCCCGACTTCTTATAGTTTAACATTGAAGTATAACAAAGAATTGCCAATTTTGTGGGTGTCAAGACCAAGATCCAACTGCAGTCGCTACTTATGGACCTCTTAACTATGACGCTATTTTCGCTTTTTTGTTGATACAGCAATAATGAATATTATGCAAACAATGGAGGCAGAGAAAATGCTCATAAAGTCGTTTTATAAAGGATGTAACTGTTGTTGTTCCAAGCAATGCCGATAATTCAGAATTGCTATAAAAACGTGAAATTGTTTCATAACTTCAAGAGGCAATCATATTCTCCCTTTAACTAGCGAGGACCTCCCAACCTCCGTTGCATGTGTGCAACCAATTCTTGAGCAAATATTGACTTTTGGTCTGGAGCTCAACGCAAATTTTAGGAATAATAATTCCGTTGAGCCTGAGACCGTGAGTCAATAGCGAAAAAATTGCGAAACCAAAGTGTGAAAAGAATAGTACAAAAGCAATGAGTCAGGAAAAAAAGTCAATGAAAAGTATTGAAACTTTCCATCTCTGTGTCATTCCATTCGCCGTATACTCGCGACGTTTTCAGGGTTTTTTCAGTTCCAAGGTTTTTTTTTTCACATTTTCGAATTTGACATCGTTTGTTCCTCACGCAGAATTGTGAGCCAAACGAAAGAGCGGACGCGTCAAATGATTGTAGTGCTTTGAGAGTAGCGCACTCGAACTCGAAAGTCACGTACGTTTTGACTGTTGCGTCGGTGTCACCGGTATAACGACGGCGGTGTTGTTTGGCGCTTGGCCGACCATCATCGCTTCCAGTTCTCGTACTCGTTGCTCCAACTGGGAGACCCTTGACTCCTTCGGTGAGGGAGGGGGACCATCCACTGAAACAATTCGGAAAAAGTGCTACGATCTTTCTTTCTAAAGGAACTAGTTTTTGTCAGTTGTGCAACTTAATAGCTGTTGACACAGCAGTCAACTCAAATTAATCACGCAAATGTCGGATCATAACAAGTACTAAGATTTCTGTTACAACGTAAAGCAAAAAAAGTTGGTATTCGAGCAGAGGTCGGAACAGAAATGCCAAAATCACTTGCTCAATGCTCATGTGACCTATCAAAGCTCACAATCATCAGTATCAAAATGAAAGTGCATAACATGGGGTAAAAACACTCTTTACAGAGACGGTAGAAGCAAACATAAAAAAGTGTTGGAATTGTTTTTGATGAAATATTGGGCAAATAGAAAAGAAACAAGCAAACCATAAATTGTAATTTCGCACGCCAAAAAAATATCAGGTTGGTGCAAAAGTTGATCACACTAATTTTGAAAAATCAAGACTTCCAGTTCACTCGACAGATTTGCAAGAACTTAATTCTACTGGTCAAAGGAAATCATAGTCCTTGTGATAGTACATTTGCCGCTCTCTAACAAGGGGCAGCTGAGCTAAAAGCAGAAAACTAATAGCAAAATTGTCGAGAAAGCAAGAAGTTATGATTTTCCAAAGATGGTGCGAACAAACTTTTGTACCAATCTAGTGCTTGCTTGGACAGGGACTAGTAAGGTACTGGGTCAGATTGAAAAACTACTAGCAAGTCGCAAAGACTTCAGGCAGATAGGCGCAGTTTACTGAAGATATTTTTTAGAAATGACTAGCAAAACACACTAGGCACAAAATTATGATAACTCCAAGATGCAACTCATTTGCATAGATTAGCGCTTCTTCAAACTAGGTTTGACCTTTGAATTTATGAGACAACGATTGAAACAGCATAGGCTGCGTCCATACTGATGTGGAAGTTCGGGAACAGTTCCAGTACAGCGCTCGAACTAAGCACTATGCTGAAACTGCACTCGGACTGCGGGCTCAGTATGAACGCAGCCATAGAATGAATCACACGAAAAAAGAAAGGCCGGAAGGAGAAGTACTCACCAAGTCGTTCTTCACCACCATTATGGAAGTATGCTTGATAAGCCGGTAAGACCAAACCAGAGCTGCTACTTCTTCGTTCAACTGTAGAAGCAAACTGCCTGAAATGGCATCTTATGAAGTCGGTCATGCAGCTCATCCACATCATCGTTGATGTGCTATCATTATTATTACCAGCGTACTTATTCGAAAGTTATAGCGAGAAATTTCAATTGTATAGTGCAAAGCTCGCTACTTTTTCATTGTTCAGGAGTTAAGATTATAGAAAAAACTATTCCAAAGTAAAAAAAAGGCTGGACGTCATTTATTGTGCCGTATGCGACGGCATAAAATTGTGATCAAACGCATTGCTAAAACAAAACCCACTGATTTCTGTCAGCGTCAGATTCTCTGTGATAGCGATGTCTTGATCTCTGTGCTTGAGGTTGAGGTGCGACTGCGACCTGAAAGGCAAAAAAACATAAGAGGAAGGACGAGATTGTTGTATACTACAAGGGTATAATTGCAGCGCTTCCACCTCGTTGAGACTCTAGCCAATTTTAAGGTTTCATAGCGTAAACCGGTTTGAGGGTGGTGGGTGTGACTGTCGCATTTTAACTCATTTTCGAAAAATATTTTGTCAAGCAACTGGTTCGATGTTGCGCTTGACAGAAAACATTCAATACGAAGGACTAGGGTTGCAAAGCAAAATTAACAAGTACCTCCGGCCTCTTGTTTGACGATTGTCTGCTTACAGCACCGGCAATACTGCCTATTGGCTGTTCACGGATCGTTACCGATCCTGAGCTGGATCCACCAAAATGCTCTTTTACTTTACTGTAAATTCTATTCATCCCACAGCAACAATGCATGTCCAGATGGTGAATAAGATCGACTAATCCTGCATGGATTAGAGCTTGCGGTTAGGTGATTGCAAATGTGTATAGAGTGGGAATACGAGTATTGCCAGAGGGTGGATGCTAAGCACTAGGTCGTGGTGGTCGTAAACGGTCGAAAGTCGTCTCGATTTCGCTGAAAGGGAGAGCAGATTTCGTCGTCGATAACACGATTGCCCAGATGATCAGATTATACTTAGCGAAAGACAATACGAGGGGCTACTATGATCACAGAAATCAAGCAAACATCATGCACGGCAGGTAAAACAGTAAGCTAAATGATTTCATTCCCAGTGATAATTACCAGGCAGTCAATTTAGAAACGCAGTCGAGCACGTAGCTATCTTAAATGTAACAGTTGAGAGGGTAAGAAGTGAGATAGCAAACAGTTTTTCCTCTCGCGGCTGCTACAGGGAACCTCAAAGAAATTTCACAAAGAAGCCGGCTGTTATTGTTATTGGAAGGTCTTCTGTTTTACATTAAGGATGTAGACGAATAAACAAGTAAACACTGCTGAAGAAGCTCATATGTAAAAACAGATACTGAAAAATGACAATCTCAGTAACATAGGTGCAAGCAGTGATAGTGCGAAGTTGTGAATCGTAATGACGAGTCACTATGAAAACAAATACTTAGCGAAAAAAAAACTACGTCTCTTTTCGTACGTACTAAGCTGCAGCGAGATAGCGGTGCTCATTATTTCTGTAAGCAGTTGAAGGTTTTATAGCTCCATTTATGGAGCAAATGACCCAGCCACAATTAATGACTTTCACAATAAGTACTTGCGTCATGCTATCGTATAAGTTCACGGTACAAGTGCAACAAAAAAATGTAAAAAAAGAATTCCTTCAAAGAAATTTGATGCTATTGTATTTTCCACAAGCTACCTCTACGAGATAAACAAACATCAGGGGCTAAAAAAGACTTACGCCGGAGCACTGGCGTTATTCATTAATAAGCAGTGTATCTTCAATTACCATTGCTGTTAATCAGAAGTAAAAAGTGTATTTTATATCTGCGACGATCATGCATGATCAGACAGCATGAAACTACTAATTAGCTAAATTATATTAACCGATAAATTAGTTAGCCCTTTACGTTTACAAAAATTTCTGGAATATATATGGAGCAGCCTACGCAGCAACTTCAGCAGGAATCAGCAATAACCTTTCCACTTGGTTGCTAGAAAATAAGATTGCCGCAATTTTCTTCAAAAAATTATGGGTGATTGAGTTCAAAAAGAGCACGGATAAAGTAAGGGCTACAACAGATTCGCTGCTCAACCTCACTTTCAAGCGACCACATACAAGTACCATGGAAGTTGTAGAACTGATTTTGTTTGGAGGCTGACTGAGCCATAAATAGAAAGTGAAGAGTGAAACAAAAACTGCTTTTATCGCATTAGGCTGTAAAATGATTCACTTTGCCACAATTTGAGAAATCCAAATAACTTGCACTCTTTACGTTGCCATAATGTGTTCATAGCAAAAACCACTTCAACCAATCATCGACATAAACTAGATTATTTCTGAGCACATGGCGAACAAAACACAAAATTCGGTTTCTAGAAAATATGACCTATATTTCATGAAATAAATGTATGTTAAAATGTTGCTAATAAATATGGTAACGTATGGATTTTCAGTCTAACACTAGTGCGAAAGGAATGATGTGATGATGAATTAGAGCAATGAAACAAGAAAACATGAGTTGGCAAATCGATGACAAATTTAAGAGCATAAAAGTGCTGATGTCCAAGAAAACGAAGAAACGTAGACGCGCTAAAATTTAGCATGTGATGCATAGCGACATAGCAAAAAAGATGAAAGCGAAAAAGAAGAAGCAGGCACTTGCAACAAAGGATGACGCGACTGCTCTGAATTGTGCTCACGACACAATGGTGTAGACTCAGAACTGAAAGAGAGAGCACTCTTTGACAAGAAACTTGCTGCAGGTGGATCCTCTTCGAGAGAACTGGGGATGCTTATGTAAAGTCAAAAAGGCAGAAAGCGGCCGCACAAAGGTGGAACAAGAAAATCCGAATCCTGTTAACTATTTCCGAAAGCTGTAGAGTATGGTTTTCTCAAAACCTTGCGTTTTTCGTCGCTGATTTACAGTGACAGAAACGGAGAGTTGGCGTTGAAGAGTGGGAATGAGAGGGCAATTTGGTCGGCTGCGAGGTGCACGTACCCAACGCGTCAATATTGAGGCGTCGACTAGAAGGGCAACAGTCGTTTCTCATAAAAGGGTAGCCTAAGACAGGATCTGAGCTGAGTCGAGCGAAAAGCACAATTTTGAGGGTAGCGACTTCGTTTACATGAAGGAAAAAGGACCATGAGTGATGAAGAGATCACCCAAAATAGAAGTTCGTACGAACACTTAAGAAATGTTTGGTATGTGATATTGAAGAAAAAGAAAATTTATAGCTGATATGATTCGCAACTTATTCATTTGTCATAAGAAGGAGAAATTGGTGCTAAGAAAAAGAATTAAGTATCAGCGTTCATCATTTGTCCTAGGCAACACAACATGGGATATTGATAACGTAGTCTGAGGGAAGCAAGTTTTCGGGTCACGATTTGAGCGAAAATGGAGCAGCTCGATCCCATAGAAGTTGGTTGCAAAACACGATTCACCGATTTGACCAAAATAAACGTTCTTAAAGGTTAAGATGTCTTTCGCGGGCTACTAAAAATGATTGAAAGAGAATATGCATGGAGTGTCCCTCTTAATTCAAAATGAACATAAGGTTGATCACCAGTATTTTAGGGAAAATGTGGCAAAAGCAACATAAGCCAAGCTTGATACAGAATGGTATGAACCGCAATCTGGAGCACATCTGCGGCGTGCGCATCATACCCATCAATTCATGAAAATGTTGTCGGTGCAAAACGATCGGGTAAAGTGGAATGATCTGGGTCGAGATCGGTCGTCAACGGAGGTAAGTACGATGTAAAAACAGTGTAGTAGGGCCATATGCGGTGAACGCCTCAACTGAGACCGATCAGCGGGAATTGTAAAACCGGAATGCTGGCTGCGAACGGTGTCTCGACCACCTATGCTGAAGTGCCACAAACACCGCAACGGACGAGATTACTCTGTAGGTGCTGGAAAAACGAGCAACACACGGAACGGGCTCGAGATTGACAAGTGTCCGAAACGCATGAGAGAAGTTGACAAGGTCATTACGGCAACATCAAATAATGCTCATCGTGACTAAATGACGAAGAGCAATTATTTGCTGTCCACCAGCCTGACGAGATCGCCATTTTACAATCAAAGTCAGGGCGACCGGTGACGGTGCCTCCATCGAGGAGAGTCAGTGGGCGATAATCGCAGAACGAATTATAGCTCGCATCCAAAATGTGGAATGGCCTCGGACCAGAGCAGGACGCTTGACTTGCGCGAATCGCCGCTCCATTTCGAGGTTGCTCAACATTACGAATGGCGCATGGACATCATGTTTTACGAGCCACCCTAAAATCGCTACCGTAATGCGATCTGTTACGGCTGACACGCGACATGGATTACCGAATGGTTAGTGCGCGCACAAATGAGGTGATAAGTTTACGACCATTCGTGTTACTGATCAGATTACAATCTCTTTTTGGTTTGATTCTAGGACTACCAAAAGCTACGCACACAGATAGTCAACAACCCAAAGTAGGAAAAAACGAGTAAAACTGGCCAATTTCCATGAAACAGTCATCCTAGTCGAAAAACAACGATAAAACTTGAAATTTCGACCACTGCCCGCATCGTAACAGAAACACATCGAAAGTGTAAGAGTGTTACCTTGATGAAGATTTACGAGTACTCAGAGATCGTTGCCTTCTCAAGATACGATTTTTGCAAACGAGTGCTCCAAATCTATGCGAAATGTCGCTGCAGCGATTTACTACCAGAATGCTTTTGCATCAGAGGAACAATCTATATTCAAAAAGTACAACAAAACATTTTGTGCCAAGGAGGTCGCAAATGTATAATGTATCACATTCCAAAGTAGCATGATTACCGCGATTGTTTACGAATATACCCTCGACTGACTGTTCATCATTGGCGATCGGTTTCCGCGATTCTCGCTTTCGAATACGACAGCTCGTGAAAGCGTATTGACTTAGACTTGGAGGAGTTTGCAACTTCAACAAAATCTTTTTACAGAAAAGCTTGAGAGCTGAAGATGAGACAAGGGTTTATAAGTAAAAAAGACAGCGAAGCTCTTCAGCATAACTTCTGCCGTCAAACCTCATAAGAAATCACACTAACTTGTCACAAATCAGCAAAGCCTGCATATATGACAGCCTATGCTTCACTACTGTCATTCACTTCAACAAAATGCAAAAAGATGGTTGTCTTTTTTCCGCGTGACAGGAAGAAAATCGATAGACACACGCAATGTCGTGCGCAAACACACACATGGATTAGAACAGCAGCTGGAGAAGACCTTGGAAGGGTGCAGGAAGAGAAATCCCCGCTAATCGTCGAATAGTAAATAGCATTACATTAGCTGGAGCGATAAGATGATGTGTTAAATGAAGCGCAAATGCGATCAGTACGTGGTGGCTGAGTCAACAGAAAGCGAAAGCCGAAATGTCAGCGTACAAAATGGACATTAGCCTCGGAATGACAGTTCTCGTGGCGATGTATGCGGAGACCTAGAGTAGAATCGTACTGATTATGCATATTGGGTATGAATTATTGAGAGACATGAATTATGGCAAGAATGGATAAATGAAATATTACGCATTTGCAAGTCTTTGGTATCAAGGTCGAGAGCTCACACATGCATTCGCATGATAGCAGAGTATAAGCGTTTATCTTCTTGTATACAATTTAGAAGCGCGAAAATGAAAGCAAAATAGAAAGATGCAATTAATTATTGCGGCGACGAATAAAAACTGGGGAAAGCGAATGTTGCGCATTAAGTACTTAGAGACAAATGACAGAGCAACAATAAATGACGGGGGCGCACATGCAAAAAGTATAGGAAACAGATAACGAAGGGCAGTTTGGTTGCTTTCCAAAGCGCTCAACGTTCTACTATTTGATGTAAGTATACACTGATGTTGTACAAGCAGCAAAAAAATGTTGTTGAGATTGGACTGCGTACATGGAAGATAATATCTACAACTAGAAATCAATTTGGATAGCAAAACAGAAATGATTTGAAATGACGATTTGAGAAGAGTATGCAATAGATGAAAGGAGCAGAATTGCTGTGTGCCTGTGATTCGACCAAACAATATGATGGCGAAAGCTATAAAAGCGCGCATTCGAAATGACATCTCGCCCTTGAATCATAAAAACAAATACGATTCTAGCTGTGCAGTGGTTTCAATGCAACTCAAAAAACAATGTATGCACATGTAGCTTTGTGATCTGAATGACCATCGTTGCTGTAGAGGAATATAGCAATTTGCTGACTCTGCGAATGCAAAGCAAAAATATCTGCAAGTTTGCGACGCAAACATTCGTTCAAAACACGACCGCAATTATGAAACGTACGCAAATCGTGCTCTTATTATAATAGCAGCTGAGAGAACGACACAGTGGGACCATTCGCCAGCGGAATAGTATAAATTTGATATCGGAAGAAATGCTGGTATAAAAGAAAACATAGTGCATTCTTTTCTTATCAAGCACACTTAGAGATTGGAAAAAAGAAGGTGTCATTCGATGTGCCATCGAGAATGTTTTGTGACGATAAAACGCACCTATGTCAATTTTCTATTTCACAAGAGCTAAGTTAACAGCAGCCCTGCACAAAACACTGCACCGCAGCCTGTTTCCGGTCGATTCTTAAAAATTAGCGCGCTTGTCAACAATCAGTCAGAACAACTTAAGTCAAGAAGTGTTTTAAAAAGGTAAACACAGAAGTGGAAAACGTACCTTGTTTATCGGAGTACTGGTCATCGCTGCACCGTCGAAAAATACTTGCTGATGGCGGCTGCTGTTCCCATTCTGTACACTGCGTCGTTGACTGAAATGTTCTTCAGTCATGTGCAGATCTTTCGATAAGAAAGCAACATAAAAAATAAACGAAGTGCAGCTTTTTTTTAAATCACAACCTATGCTGACTCATTGCCCTGCCTCATAGCCTTTCCAGTGTACTGTTCCATCTGGTTTGGATCACATGTCACAAATTCTGTTCAGGATAAACTGCAGTGGCTCAACAAATATTTTCGTAAGAAATACTGTGCAAACCTCATTCTTTCATGCCAAGTGGGTAACCTAACCTTCTTCCTTCAGAATTCAATGAGGTAAGTGCTCCGTTTGACCAAGCTGCTGGGATCAGAGCGTCAAGGAACCGGATGCAAATAACATGGTTTTTATACCACTAGACATTATTTTGGTTTTTTTCTCATCCTGTGCAGAACTGTAGCAAGTTTTGAAGGGAACCACAACTCAAAAATTACGTCAAGAGCCGAACACTAGCTTTTTTTGCTGCTCCACGGACTAGTGTCTATTTGTGCCTCTTGCCAACAATCTTGTTTCTAAGCTGTTCTAATGCTTTCTATTCCACTTGAGGTGTAAGGGAAGGCAAGTGAGAAACCCGATCTATGACAATTAGTTGAGCGTTATGCGTTAGGAGGGTCGGACGACGGGAGAAAAATCCGAACGATCACCTCTTTTTCACTCGTCCACTATCGGCTTCTATTTCAGAGAACTCCGCATCGGAAATCGTGAATAGCGAATCATTACAAGAACATGACGGACGCATCCTGTTCCTCGACATCATTGTAAAATAATGTAGTAACAGTACGTAGCTGGCAACAGTTTTCAACGTCTCTGTTGTTCTTAAAACCTCAGTTTAACGTCAGAAAAACTCAACAATGACGGATGATCAATCAAACACAGAAACGAAGCAATATGTTACGAGAGAAAAAAGTCAGGAGTTTAGCGAGTCTTTCTTACATATTGGAAAGAGGTGAATAAATCTTCCATGTCACAAACGAAAATTAGGTAAAGTCATTTGTTGGTCTAGCTTAGGTGCGTTGACGACAGGCAACCAATCATAACAGCACTTGCGCAGCAAAATGAGAGGATATTCGTTCAAAAAACGCTTCCCCAATAATTTATCTATGAAATGCAGGCCCAAACATCTGGGTGAACATAAAATCTTTGTTAGTGAACAATATTAACATGATTTGAAGGGACTCGATGACTTGCATACCTGGAGCAGATACAATACAGCTCTAAGATTTTAAAAAATATCCGCGAACATTGCAAAGAATCCTGTGGCATTCATATTGAACTGATTCTAAATGCAAGGATACCATTCAACTCTGCTTGACGCTGCGCACCTTCTGATATACATAATTGTCTCCCTGGGTACGATAGTTGTACGGTAGTTAGTCTTTTCTACCAGTTTTCACGTTACTCACAAGGGAATGGTCCGAATCGAGTGGCCAATTCAAGCAAGCTGGATATTATTAGTTGCAGTATAGACGCTGAAACAAGGTCACCTCATATGGCTCGTATCTAGAGGTGAGTTAAAAGGGCAATAATATCCAAGTTCGCAATTTTTGTGTGCGATTTTTTTCGCAGTAAAGATGCCCATTACTTCGCCTACAAAGGCGTACTGCAGATACGAAAGATAGGTTTGAAGTCAGCGTTCTATGCTGCGTCGAATGATGTGCAGCTTTGGATTGTCACTTCGACTTCTGACCATTCCCTGTCAATGTGGTCGTTGAAAATTAACTACCATATATCTAGCGTACCCAGAAAGGACTACATATCAGAAAATGAGCCAAGTCGACTTGAGTTGACTGGTGCCCTTAATTCCAGGATTGTCCACTCTAAACCGAGATATGGCAATGGAACTCCAGCGGAGTTCGCTGTTGACACTCGGAACTAGTTGTATTAACTTGCCTGTTTCTGATATTAGGTTGTTGCAAAAATAATGTCCGTTTTGCAAATTTTCACTTTGGAAGGCTGCTATAATTTCGCTTAGTCTTCATATTTTGAATGCGGTCAAGACCCTCAGAAACAGCAAACCTTTCGCATTTTAGCGCCTATCTGCTCATACTGTTATCGCAAACGGGAAGAAAACCATGCGTCAAAAAACTTAAATTTTTTCTTTTGAAAACCTCGTATTTGAAAGCTTATAACTCCTTTCAAGTTTTGTTCGTATGCCTGGCAATCAGCTTATTTTGTGGCCGCAGGACAATAGTATACATATGAATAGAAAAGACTCCAACGAAGGAGTTTCGCGAAAAGAAAAGATAAAAATTCCAAAATGTTCACTTTTTTGGGCCTACTTGTTGTAGGCTTGTAGTGCCAAATTATGAAAATTGGGAATTTTTCACGTACTAAATAGCTGAGTTTTTCTTCAAATATTGTAGTTAAAATGTGCTAATCTTAAGCCTACAGAAATGGGAGAAGCTTTGACGATTGCCTTATCTATGAGAAATTTCTGACCCATAGAATGCCGGCAGCGAGTGTCTATTTCAAAGCGTCAATTTCTTAGTCCACATATCTCCAAAAATCTACATAAGTATGCAGCAGGTAAACAATCTTCACCTAATACATTTGCTATGTTTTCAGAAGAATTCGTTTATCTATTTTTGAATTGTGGTCAAGGAAGCGAAAGCTATGAAATTCCGATTTCAAGTGCGGGTGCGCAAAATGCTGCTGAAATTCTCACAGATGAGACTAGCAGCTTAATTCTATAATCGTTAGAAAGCACATGAAGAGAGCTTCCCAATGATATGCAGATTCTGTATCGAACACGAAAGTTTGATGGAAAAAAGTTGCTTGGAATATAGGCCTAAAAAACGGACATCATTTTTGCACCAACCTAATAATTGAGACAAGAGAACATAAAATAACTTAGACGAATACAGCTTTAAAGGATGGATGCCCAAGGGCAAGCTGCCTACGAAAAATTAACCCAAAGAAATATCACAAATGAAAGTGTCTGGGAACACTACCATTCAAATGCCACGTTTTATAGCCACGCAGTGATTCCAACACTTGGTCGCTATGAAATGTGACTCCGACAAGGGAATGCCGAAGCAAAATAACAGTGTAAATTGAGCTCTCGCCATATGCGGCCATTGTCGAGCTTGCTTCAGTTACGCGAAATCGGAGATGGAATCGTCTTAGCAGTGAATAAACAGAATGTGCCACCGATGTAAGCAGCCGCCCAAAGCTCTGGTCCTCCTTGTACGAACCAAGCAGATCGAAAAACTCGGATCGTGACAATGCAACGAGTGTTACTCAACGAATAAACAATAGAGATATCCAAGACAGGGACGAAGGACCTCTTGGTGATTGCGCACTACATCCAATTGACATTATTACGAGGGCAGTGCACATAGACGTAGCAGATGGGTGAAGATGGTCGAAGATAGGGGGAAGAATGCCAGCCTCAAGCTCTGCACCACCGCTAATTGGGCACTTCACAAGATTTGCCGTGCATCCACGATGCGCGCTGAATAGTCTCGACTCTTCCGTCGCCCTCAAATGGCACTAGAAGACAGTAGACATCATTCGCAAAAACACCACGCGCCAGAAAACCTCTCCGAAGTGCAAACTGCGATAAGCAGTCGCATGCTTGAAAAGCTCAGCTGCTGCATTCGAATTCCTGATGCCTTTTTTTAAGCAACAAAAAACTATACTACAATTTTGCAGAATAACTGGGACGTGATTGATAACCCAATTCGATCTCTGCGATAGCTAGTGCAGATTGTAAAGGTAATACCAAGCTCTCAAATGATAACACAAGGAAGGCAGACGCTACTGTTACGCGACACTGGCCGATGAGTTTTCTTCCTTCAAATACATAGAACGCAAAGACAAATCCTTCTTACACCCGCTGTACAACTATTGCTCGAAAGGATAAATTACAACACATCAAAAAGAATAGAACGATAAGAACCCTCAAAACGATCTGCGCTATGACAATGTTGATAGAACTTCTTCTAACGCTACGATGTCAGTGTCTGCAACCGCTATTGCTTAAGTTTTGAATGGAACGAAAAGGCTAAATGTCAACTCAGCTCTAAAAAAGCTTCAACCCACTGACGACAACAAGACTGACGATATTTCTACAAAATTCTGAGGCTTGCTTCATCATGGGCTACTGCTTTTCTAACTTATACGATATTGCTGGAGTCAAAGCTTGTAAAGTCGTTTATCGGAAACCACCTCATCTGCAAGTTCTTAAGACATAATCATTAAAAAGAAATTTTTTTCTAAAAGCGCTGCGACCCACCGGTAAATGGCAGCGTTAGAGATTAGAAAATGTTGCTGTGCTGAGTTATTCTTGCTGCTTATCAGTTTTCGACAAAACCCCGAACTCAAATTATAGCATTTAGAAAAGCAGCGACAGAGATAAGTTTTGGGGGCGAATCTGCCTTTCAAAACGGTGCTACAGTGAGATTATCATCTAGCTGTGAATTATGAAAATATGGATTCAGTGGTAAGTTAGTGGCTTTAAAAGAACATCAAATTTCCCGAACACTATAGAGAAAGAAACTTATCCTCAATAATGTTTGAGGTGATGTTCAAACGATTGAATGCACAATTTATTCCATTTCCTTCTAATTTTTTAGCATGTTAAATCACACGCTCTCAATAAAGTCAGGGTTTTGGACGCCCATACATATGAAGATAGAACTTTTGCCTAGATTGCGCACTCAGAAGCAGAGGAGTTGACAAGATAATCTGTAGACTTCAATATCACATCTTTTACGTAGCCAACTGCACAAGGAAAACTGTAAAGGAGGTCAAAATGACATTGCTTTGTTCCTAAGGAATAGAACTGAGCAAGTGACAAATTGACAGTAGCTACGCTAATATTTCAAAGATCAAGGAAGTTCTACTGTGGAGAAAATTTTAGGGAAGAAGCTAGCTATCCTTGAAATTGCACATCAGCAAGGAAGTAAAGATGCAATGAGTGCTAAGAGTGAACCTTTAAACATACCGCGAGGGCAATTTATTGTCAAAAGGCTCCGAAAATTTATTTGTTGATAGCGGGATTGTTGCGATAAAAAGAGACAAAGAATGCAAACGATCGGGAAGCCTTGGTAAGATGCTACGACTGATAAGTCTTCAACCTGTAGGCCGAACACAGCTTAGGAATAAAATGGAGTCGATCTTTAATGTCAACAGGGTAAAAACAACGTAAAACCTCGCTTGTTCATGGTTGAGTAGAACACCCTACCGCTTTCTAATAATACAACAATTGCGCGCTCAGTTCCAGACATCTGTGCGTAGAAACACATGTCCATTTTATGAGACTATGGACCGCTAGCAGTGATCACAGTGACACACAGTGCACATGTTGCCGGACCACAGTGGCTTGGATGCGCGCGCTAAAGACGACGAGGGGTGCTGTGAGGCGCGCAATTTCCTCGAAAGTAGTCCTAATAAAATAACCCTCGGGATGGCACGCTATTGATCGGAATTTCTTCTCAACAACACTGCCGCATGCTCACGATGTTCAAGGCAGTACTGATGAATAGTTAGCGAAGGTAATGGTGCAAGTGATCCAAAAAGAAATAGTCGCATGAGATTGATGAATTCAATAGAAAACACATTGCAGAGGCAAACTTCTTCAAGCCCCGAAAGCGATTATATATCTAAGCCTCACATGCCCGATACAGACGAAAAAGTTAAAGAATCAACAATGAGAATCATTAACAAACAATGAGACAGGCGCATCATGCATCAGGAAGCAACATAAGTTGAAACCTAATGCCATACCTTCCGAAAGAATAAAAACCAAAACCCTATGACTGCTCAACTACAAGATCGGGTAAAGAAGCATTCTGAGAAATGAAAGTCACATCAGGAGGTTGAGCCTGCGCAAAAACTTCAAATGGCTTTAGCTATAGCATGAGACATCTAGTAACGTTTCAAAAAGCCGTCAATTTCATACGAAGCTGTCATACTACGCATGTCATCGTCATACACGCATGAATTCTATGTTCAATCTATATGAGATTCCGACAGCTATCCGAGACATGAAGTAGGATTTCGAGTAACAGGAATTACACCCGTATTGACAACAACATTTGTTGAGAGTCAGGTCAGGATCAACATCTTACCCATGCTGCCCGACACCAATTAGTTTTCTATTTACCGCAAACTCAAAATATTAGTTGATTATATAAACAAAACTCACTTTGGTGGAGTATCGCATCGCTCACGACCATAGCCACGGTCCATGCCACCGCCAAGAGGCGAATCACTGTATGAGATCGATGACAAGTTATAAAGTGTCGATGCTGAAAACATCTGAGTGAAAATTATTTGTTCACTACTCTTCTCAAATCTTTGTACAGTACAGTATGTGTAGGAGGAATGGTACAGAGATCCCATTCGTCCCACCACAGACAAAGTCGTTAAAATCAGCGCATCTTCTCGCATTCTGATTATGCAACAAGCACAACAGAATATGGTATTTTTGCTTGAAAATCTCCTACGGTATACTGAATCGAAAAAAAAATGATACTGGAGTGCAAGATCTAGGCACACCAATGTAAATCAGAAAAAGATAGCGATTTCCATGCATCTTCCCGCATTCCTGATTATGCACGGAACTGCCTGCTACCTCAATTCCATATGTAAATATGGTTTTGCCTATTCCTCGTCAAACGCGGACAAATCACCTAGCATCCTTCATATGTCAAGGGTGACCCCGGGGACCATGACTGTTGCGCGTAATATGCAAGGAAATTGCTAGCGGCCCGCAAGGGCACGAACATGACATCCAAACCTTTGAGCCAAAGAAATACCCAAAGCTAGTTTGCAAAAGTTCAGGAGCACATAGAATGTGCTTGTGTATATAACTGTGGTTACCAGATTTCACTCAAATGACCCATACTGTGTTGGTGCAGGTGCCGTAGAATTACGGCTCAACAAATACAATACAGAAGTCAACGCAAAGTCAGCCAATTTACTTCTACGTCAGAAAAGAGACTATTCGGATAAATACAAACTGCAGGAGTAGCAGTGTGAAGATCGGTGAAGTATAGATGATACTTCCTAGCTGTATGTCAATGCAACTTCCTTAGGAGTGAAAATCAAAAGCAAAACGTTTGTCCACAAATTAGGTGAATTATCAAGTTTTTCAGATCGACCTCAGAAAATAAAAACTATCGAAAACCCTGACAACTGAATGAATGCTATAAACTCATCATAACAAGAACGGCATAAAGGGAAGAAAACAAGCATTGCTGATATGTAAGCCCCTCAATAGTTGCTGTGGATAATGATGGTCGTAAAAAAGGGAGAATTTTCGGAAGCATCAGACGTTATTACCTTGTGCTTCAGTACTGGTTTAATGAAATATGGACTGAGCTCAACTGCGCCTTATTCGAAGATGAATACCGACATGACTAAAAGGAGTTCGAGATGGCAAGTCTGGTGAAAGTTTTGCAGTCGTAGATAATGAAGGCATGAGCGCAACACAACCACATGTTTCTGTCAATATCCATCTCGGAAAATCCCAAGCCGACTAGCTCCTCACGCGATTGGGTTGTAAATTACGTTAGCTGTTTTCTATGAAATCATAGCGCACATCCACGATCCAGCTAGAAGGAATTTACAAAGCTTTTTGAGAGAATTGAATGTACTATTTGAATAAAAAAAATTGTTGTAAGCGTACGACGCAGTGCCGTAAGCGTAAGGCGAAGTTAAAATAATGAATTTGTATGATTCTAATTCAGGATCGTACTGAGCTGGGCAAAAGATTTCGTTATGATCCCGTTCTAAAATGAGATTTCGGTTTTTGAAAAAAATTTGCTGAGTTCAGCAAGTTGTCTAATAAAGTCACTTATCACCACCAGAACTATGAAAGTAATCAGCACACCAAAAAGTCTAGCAAGTAAGGTTTTAGCTTCCTGGCAGAAAAGCTTAACATATGCTCTCTTTCCACGTTCAAGATTACGAATTATGTATGTATAAAAAATACCAAAACTGCAAGTATGCAAATTTCGGATTAAGGTTCTACCAGTTCTATGTAACTTCCTCGTACAGTATTTCATCAACAGACTACGTTAGAAGCAGCTTACTGGTGACAGTTATGGCAAAGCTCATGAAGCTATTCCATAAACTTGTTACTTGGGTTTCAGTATACGATGTTCAGGTAGATCTTAATGTCCAAAACGATGGGAAAAGTATACAGGCCCTGTCGTGGATATGCTAAAACTACGCTTCAAAATAAGCACCGCTCATAGTTCGTCAAAAAAGTCACCAATCTACAAAGGAATTCACCAAAATCCATGTCGCATCGCCACACGTTAGTTCAGAGTGGACAAATTCTGGATATAAGGCATTGTTCCGCTCAGGCCGAGAAGGCTCAATTTCTGATACCAGTGGCGTACCAGGATTTCCGTTCGGAAGGGGGGGGGGCGACAATATTTTTTTCTCCCACGGAAAATTTCAAAGCTAAAATGAATTGTTAAAAATTCAAAAAAATATTTTAATTAATCACAACTGAACAAGTCGCTCGCACATTTCTATAACTCATGTAAGTAAATTTCAAGGCCCCCCCCCGCCCCTCCTCCCCTCCCCTCTGTCTCTCGGTGCGCCACTGTCTGATACATAAAGGCCCGTCTGAATACAGTAAGTGCACGGTAAGTGATCAGATTTCATGAATCTTTTCAGATTACTAACGGTAGATTACTCAAAGTGCTTATTCATTGCACAATGAGCAACCTACAGTAAGCAGAAGTTCAAAAAAATCGTGGAAATTGACCTCGCTGTAGAAGGGGCTTACATACCAGAAGAATCGCCGAGCTGACAAAGGAAGCGTGTTAAGTCGAAGTAGCTTTCCAGTTCAGTCTTATACTAGCTTAAAGAGCATTGAACGCTGATTCCAAAAATGTTTTTATTACCTTCCAAGCTCCAGACGCCGAGCTATGAATGTTTTGGAGCAAAAACTGAACGCAGAATTTATGCAAAAACCATGGTTACAATCTGTTCTGCTCTGAACTAGAGCAGTGATGAGTGTAAGGGTATCAAATAGAAGGTAATCATTGAATGAAGTGCTTTGATAATTATCACCTGACCATTTGAGCAATTCTGGAAGATTTTTCTCGGTTGCACATTCAATTTTTCGACATAACAAACGCTCATAACTCGGCTTCCAAAGGCACTTGACAGAAGGAAGACGCATTTAGAGTCACCGTTCAATACTCTACAAAGTGTTATAGGTTGACATGTGGAAAGGCCACTTCGACTAAACGCTTCCCCTGTAAGTTGAACGGTGCTCTTGATCAGAACTCGTCCCTCTGAGCCAAGATATGGCGATGCGATGGGAATTTCGGTGAAATTACGGACTTCCGTAAGTTTTTGACGAATTATGAGCGATACGGTTCACCAATTTTTCCTCGATTGAGTGTATATAGTGCTGCAGGTGATCACTTATATCAAGCGTTGCACACAACTTCACGAAATGCTGTATCTATCGCGATTAGCATCCAAAAGTTCAGAACTTTTGACACCAGCAAAGAGGCTATGAGAAATCAAAAAGCCGATAAAAAGGCAAACGCTGTTGCTCGTCTGAACACATACGACAGAGTCGTGGCATGTTTTTCGACAGATGTTTCGCATAGTAATGGCACCATATAAAAACGACGCGACCACTTGGTAGTGAAAGGTAAGAAGCTGAATTTTAACGAAAACGACTACGTCTTTCCTTTACATCTGAAAATCTGAATTGATACTACAAAATATTCAAACCTCAACATAGTAAGGATTTTTTTAACCCAACCACTTGGTCTGCGTTTGGTATAGTTGATTCGAAAAAGTGAGTCATGATAAGTGACATTTTCTCAATATCTAATGGTCGTACGCTGAGGCTCTTCAAGAACTGCGTCTGTCAGCTCCACAGAGCACAAATTGATAGTTTTCACTCAAGATGATGCGAAACAAAGCAAAGCTGCAGAAAGAGAGAAGTTTCAGCCAAACAAAGACAGCAATGGTCATAATGGCTAATGTTTTCGATTCTCTCAACTGCTAATGTGAATGCAATTGCTGGATTGTCTCAAGGTGGCCGTCCTTTGAAAAAAAAAGTCGACCAAACAAGTCGGGAGGAACCAAAAAGTTGCCCCTATATCATAAATATGGATTGACAATTGCAAGCATACAGTCCTTTTGCACCTTTGAGAGCTTGCGATCCAAATATTGGAGAGTTATAGAAAAATTCGCACACATAATATTGGACCAAGACAATAACTGTGGCCTTGAAAACTTGAATGACACACCGACTGTTTCAATTTTTTTGCATTTCATTATAAGCAAGCACAAAGTGTTAACTGGCCTATAGACACCCACCTATAGCCCTTCATGTATTACAGATTTCTCGGGAAGAATTTACTCAACAGCTTATCTCATAAAAGGCGAGATTGATGCAAAATTGTTGCGTGTTCTTTATCCTGAAGGATAAGCTATAAAAATGTGTGAGACATACCAATCGATAGGGCAAAGCAAGCTCTAAAAGTATTTGAACAATCGCAAAAGGTCTGATGTGGTGACGTCTGAAGATAAATTCAGAAACTTTTGAACATTCAAAAACAAATTTCCGTACAAAAAGATCCTGCGGACCTCCAACTTGGTTAAGCAGATACCATACATATCATAAGCATACATACCCATAAGATAAAAATGGGCCAAAAAGATAAAAATGCGCTTTTTCGGGTTATTCATCGTCGGGACGATGCAGAATCGCTTTTTAAAGCATGACAACCTCTGGCCATGAAGAATACAGAAAGTGTAAATATGCATAGCTGAGGCGACAAGCAAATTTCGTGAGCAAGTTGGAGATTTGCAGTTCTTTGGACGAAGATCCACTTTTAGGATCAAAAAATAATTTTAGATTCTTCTTTCTAACCTACCTTACCAAATTTTCTGAAATTGTTTGAATATCATTTTGTAGAGTTTGCCTTGCTCTATCGAATGCTGTTTTTCATATTTCATACATTTTTATACCTTCTCTGCCGCCTCAGTATAACCAACATGCACTGACAGGGTGCCCAAAAGGATGTGCACACTGTTTGATCGCTAGTAATTCTCTTTGTTGTGTTTTGTCGATCTTTTAGTACCATTCTGCAGAGCGGGCATCAACTTAGATTTGCAGTATGAAGCGAATTTGCGATCACTCTTTGTTACTGTAGGATTACGGTAAAAACTTGGAGGATTTAGGGCCATTGAGGGCCATTTTTTACCTCAGAAAAACCAAACAAGGCAAGCACTCGTATGATAGGATAATGGAAGTCGCTGATTTTGAATATGAAATTCCCCAATTACTGTAATGCTTCTTTACTAAGTCATGCCGGGTGAACTATGACCCTTGTTTTTCCAACATTTACTAGAAATGTGATTAAACCGTCAAAACAGCTGAAAGCACATGTAAAAAGCTGCGCATTGAAATCAGCGTGTGTGAAAACCCTCTTGGAAAAAAATTGCCAGACTGTCTATTCCATAATTGTTGTATATGCTGGAAGTTCCTACCATAATCCCACAGTAACGAGAAGAGATCTTAAATTCGCTCCATTCTGTAAATCCAGTTGAAGTCCGCAGTGCAGAATGGTACCAAAACGTCGGCAAAAGACGTTGAAGCAAGAGGGTTATTAATGATCATTTACTGCGCACATCTTGTAAGTATGTGGAGGCATTTCAGATGCGAGTTTCCAACCATGTGCTCTTGAACGATGAGAACAGGTCTGACTAGGTTGCACAGTACAATGATTTGAGCTATAATAGTAAGCATTCAAAATCGAAAGTGATTCGATCACCTACATCACTCTCAATCTCCCAAATTCCGCCTTGAGGCGCCAACGCCCAAACCAGTAAGTCGAAGTGAAAGTTCTGTAGTATATACAAAACCCAGTTGTTTATAACAGTACGATGTCGATGAACAGGAAATTGCGAGAATGAAACCACTTTTGTCCCGAGACGTTGCAAGGTCGAAGCAGTAAGTCAATTTGGATATCGCTTACCAAAAACATCAACTGAATTCATTTCAGATATTTTGTAACCAAGGGCGTCTCAAAGTTGCACTATTAGCGTGTACATGTGTTGAATTTCCGTAATTTTCATGATTCATGAACTTCTGGTAAAATCCTTATCAAAACCGCGCAATTTTAGCAGTCCTACTCCATAACCAAAAACTTCAACACCTATAAATTTCCAAAATTAGATACTTTCAAACGTGGATTATGATTCAAACTAATTTTACAAAGCAAATGAGCGTTCACGGACCAGGGCTCGGCACAGGTGGCTTACAAGCAAGCTGGATATCGTTTTTGTGACAAAAGCAGAGTTTCGTTTTTGTGACCGAAGAGAGACGCGAAATCGGCGACTTGGCGACGTTTCGTTTTTTGCGGGATTTTGGGGAATTTTTCAGGTTTTTAGAGGAAATTTGGTTGAGGGTCAAAGGGGACTTCGTAAAAACTCCCAAAAGTGAAGGGGGACTTCGTTTTTTCCATTTTCATCTAGCCACCTCGTGCCGAGCCCTGTCACGGACTCAAAATTTCTGATCTCGAATTCTCCGTGTGGAGCTTGAGACTCGTTCAAAGAGTTATATTGAAAAATGTGAAAGTTTAGCGGTAAATCGATAAAGATATCCAAGAAGTTCACTACTGTTCTCACTAGTTCACTTATGTAGATTTTATCTCCAAATTTACGAGTCGAAAAAACGCATGTTAAAAAGAGGAGAAAATGCAGCATCGAATGACACTCAATCAATTTGTGAGGTCTGAATTGACCCAATATAGAATATGAAAGCATCAAAGACATAATCTAGGATTTTGACATTTTGAAAGGTTTGCTCTATTTCCGTTACTCGGACTTCTTCGTGAATTATATACAAAAATTCAGAAAAAAAGCGAAACTTTAAAACGGCAAAAATTGTGAGTTGTAGTTTTTGGTAATTTTCTGAAAGCCAACTAAATTACAAGTTTATATGGAAGAGCAAAAAAACTGCATCGAGTGCTACCAGTATCTTTGGTAAACCTTTGTTGCGCGGAACGTGACGCTCAATAAAAAAATGAAAATTTTATCGAAACGAGATAGCAGAATGAAGTGATAGCCAAAGTTGTATGTATGTGACAACCAATAAAATCAGGCCGCCCTTTAGATTGACGCTAGAACAGTGATATCATAGGAGCGTTATTCACACCGATGTAAAGCGCACTTAACACGTGCAGTGCAGCCACCTTTTCCGATAAACTTTTCAATCTTTCTTCCGGAAGTAGGTAGTTATATGATACCACCACAGATCGTCACCTGCTGAAACGACATCACGGCAGGAGATTAATGGACGTACTAACCCTTTCCTCGAGAACAACTACTATTTATCAAGGATGTGATTATTCAAAAAAAAAACGGCGTCGTGCAAGTCTGTGAAACTTGGTGCATGCGACCGTCGGAAAACAATCAACATGAGCTTAATAAACTCTGAAACTTGACCAATTTTTTGAATGCATCAAAATGCATATGCGCAAAATATTGCAAACTCACATTCCTAGACTTTTAATTATTGCTATAACTATCAACTGGAAGTCTTTCTTCAGGAAATTTGCAAAGTAATGAGTGATGGCTAAATTCGGAATTCTGCGTTTTTTATCTTGGCCCCCTCCCCAATGTAACGAAGCTAAAAAATAGAAAAAAAAACAAGAGCGCAGTTGCCTTAGACATGCAAAAAAACCTTGATAACCACATAGCATCAAAGCCCTTATTCTCCAGCAAACAGAATTTGTTTAGCTAGCACACAGAATTTGTTTAGCAATACTCGCACAAAGTCCATGTATAATTCGCTACTTAAGGGTATCATAATTTCTCTTACCACCTGTGTGGAAGAACCTCAGACCCACCATTTAATTGCTGAAGACTACGCCTGTACTGTTCCATGTCGTTCTCTGTCAGGTGTCGATTCAGTCCGTGCTGTTCAGCTGTGACACGAGCTGAGCGGATGCACTGACGAGGACCCACAACAGCAGTTGGAGGCATCTCGAATTCCCTCTCCACGTGTCGATTATTTGAGACACTCGAGACATTCAAATCGCTTGCCTGAAATTAAACCTTTTTTACCATAAAACGATAAGTGAAGGTCCCAATGAGAGAATGGGCAAAAAAGGGAATGACGAAACTCGCTGTGCAACAATATCGACAAAAATGCACCTTTCGTAGCGAGATACTGTAATTGATCCCTTTCAAATGGCTTTAAATACGGTCTAAAGTCTTGTACCATAGGGTCTGGATTAGAAGACCAGGTGTCGTCAACAATCAACTTATGATTCCCATTTGGAGTCTGAAGTAGTTAGGCAAAAACTGCTTCTAAGAAACTTTAATATACGTCTTCACCTAGGATTTTTTGAGCATAAAAATTTCAACATCGCAACCATGACCCGATGGCCTGTTCGTGAAAGAGGGGAGTTGTAAATTCTTTATTAGAAAGAAGGAAAATGGACGTCAAAGGCACATCAACTTTATTGCTTTTTCTAGACTTCCCTTATAGGAAGCCTAGAATTCCGGGTCCCAAATGTTACGATTTTGCATCAAAATGTCAATTGGTATGCCAATCGAAAGAACATCAACAAAGTGGACATTCTTTTTAGAAATTGCGGCAAGTGCTACTTCACCTCACAATCCGAAAGAGAACACATAAAAACGAAACGTTTGGAATGCCGTTCAGAACAAAAACTGTTGTGTCCTCGACGAAGACAGCGCATAATGCGCGTCATGAATTTATATATGCTAAATACAGTCACATACTCGGAGTATGCCATTATTTCCGTGTTGATGTAAGTTATGTGAAACTGCGTAAATATATATTATGCATTGAGTTTCTCAAGGCTAGCCTCGTCAAACTATTTTAAATGGCGTGCTTATAAGTTAACAGCGCTAGTACATGATAGTCATAACACAAAGTTATTACCTGGAACTGCGAGTTGGCGAAAGCAAGCGAATGCGTTGAGTGGCATCGTGGCACAGCGGGAGATGGTTCAAACCCGGCCTCAACCGCATCATTCCTGGAGGAGTCGCGACGTCGTAGACGCACTGCAAAGAGAGTAAAAAAAATCGCAGTTTTTGGAATTCAACGTAAATAATAAATTGTTCATCACTGCATCACTTGCATGTGTTTTAATGAATAACTGTTAATGTTTAATCAACTAAACATGTTAATTAATCAACTAAACATGAGTCAAGTGTTTTTCTTCACTGATAGGTTGGGACATTTATGGACGATATTACTTGCAGCTTTGCTTGAAATGTAAAAATACGCAATAGTTAGACATCCGTTTGTTTAGTCGCTGGTACTCACCTTCATCTTCACCATGGTGTAAAAAGAATGTGCGAGAGCTTATTTTTCCAAAAAGGGCTTCGTAAATATAGTAAGTTAAACAGAACAGACACATTTCGTTCGTGGGGTTTCGAGACTCCTTCAGCACCAAACTCGCATGGCACTTGAAATACGGACTCTCCAATGCCGCCAAAACTTTGTTTTAAATTTAACGAGGGCAGCTGGGGTGCCGGCCGCTGAGGAGTGGGTGAGTTATTGCCGCGAGAAAAAAGTAGACTGCTATAGAATTTGCTATCGTACTCACGCTATGTTCTGTGACAACTGCTCATTGCTCCACAACAACATTGTCAGCAAGACATTCCACCCTGCAAACATCGCGTGACTGAGGAACAAAGCTTTAACTGCGGTTTTGAAGTGCATCGCGCTTGAAAACGCCAGTTCGTCAAGCGCTTTTTTGATAAGAGGTACTTTTTTGCGATAATGGTATTTTTACATTATCATCACACATCCGTCCTTGATGCAGCAAAAACATCAAATGTTAGACATGTTTTGCGAAATCAAGAATCAAACGACAAAAACGAAGCCATGCGCGATGATTTAAGTTCTGCTCATAATGTCTTGCAGAAGATCTTTGAGCAGATTGTCAAGAATGCAACTTGAAACTTTGTCTCAGATCTTTTCAACCAATACATCAAAAGATGGAATTATTACTCTATGTATTGATTGTCACGCAGTAATCGATTGTGATGAGCAGGCATCATAAAAGGCAGTGTCTCAGCAGATTTTTTGGAGCCTTCTCGCCATAAGGAAGGCATGTCTTGACTTCTCAGCGCATGAAAATGGCGAAAATGAGCTTTTTCCGAAGTTTCCCAGGTCCGCATTCATTGGAGAAGTGGGCGGGGCCCGGAACAAGGGAAGCGAGGCGCGGCTTTTTCCGACGTCTCTTCGCTAATGCGGACCTGAAAAGCTTCAGGAAAATCACATTTTCGCCATTTTCATGCGCTGGAAAGCCTAAAAATGGATTCCTCATGGTGAGAAGGCTCCGAAAAGGTAGAGGACTGGGGAACGAAGTTCTGCCGAGACAATGCCTTAAAAGTTGCTGCAATCAAGATAACACTGAATCACGGTAAAGGATAAATACAGCAAGCCGGAGCAAAACAAAATTAGGATCTATGATAGGGAAAAGAGAAAGTTTCAACAAGCATGACCACACCTTTAAATAACTGAAGACCATTGAGCTAAATCAGCCGTTTTCAAAGCTGTCCCCACACGAAAACTTTTGCTGCTCACAAAAGTTTACAGGATCATGAAGCCACTAAATTTGTAGTAGTTCGAACTTGGACTGAGGGGCCGCAGTACAAACACTGATTTTTGGCAATAGAAGATGGTATGTACGTACTCAGTGAAAACAACAGTTTTGTGCTCGTAGATTTGGAAGATAGGGAAAGATTTGCAAGAACACATTGTATTCATCTTTACTACGACTAGCTGCTTTGCGAACTGTCCTGTGCATATATTCAGATTACACCTGCAACACAGGCGTCATGAAGTGCTTATAAATCATTGACGTTTTAGTGAGAAGCCCGATTTGGGCATGACTGCTTGAGCTGTATGTCTGTCCGCGCCTGAACAGCCTTTGCTTCCAATTCCGATGGATGCGCAAGCTAAAAATGCCCGACCTGCTTTTTCCCAGCTTAGATCAACAAAAGGTATCCCACTGAACAATTCTGCTCAGCAAAAGTGCTGATGGACAAACATATTCGCGGATGCTGACTGTTTTTGCATAAGCCAGATTGATCCAGAGTCAAATAGCTTGATCGTCGAGATAGATCAATGCAGGTGAGATGATCAAAGAGGGCAATCAAGTTCTCGACTCAAAAAAAATTGTGGTGACCGAAGCAGCCTTGGATCAAGGGAAATTACACTGAATTGTGCACATGCACACTAAAACTGATAGCTCCCCTGTTCATATCGGCCGACATGATAGACAGATGAAATCGGAATGGTGAAATGTATAGTTTCATCCTCAAGCAATTTTTAAAGAATTATCGGCTTTCCACATCTCGTCCAATAACTTGAATAAACCTGTAATGTAATTACCGCATATTTTTACTGATTTCTTATCTCACAATCTTTTGAAAAGGTTGGCATCAACATAAACGAAGATAATGGTTCTGGTTATCTAGCCCAAGTTCCGGTTTTCTCATGGTGCAAAGAAGCGTTTCAGAGGCATAATTGCTTCGATAAAGGAAAATGAAAAAGTCTCAAAATTTAAATGATTTTGAATGATCGTTTGAATCTCATATACATGGATAGTCATCTTTTAATGGCAATCCCTTCCTATCGTTTGCATGAACGAATCGAAGGATGAAACGAATACCCAATTTGCCTTTGACATGCAGTCAGTTTAACACTTCTATAACCTGAAAAAGACATAGATTTACACCTTTTCGGATAACATTGTCAAGAGACGCGCAAAAACGAAATGGATGAAAATTGCTCACAAATCTGAGCCAGATTTAGTTCGGCAACAAAAAGCCTTGTATCTCGAATTAGAATGACAAGCCAGTTTCACCGCATTAAGATTTTGCACTTCATAACATATGATGTCAGAGAAGTTATGGGATGTTATTTAATTACCCTCATTACATTCTAACACATAATCGAGAAAATAAACCGCTGAAACAGCCTGTTACATTACTTAAAAACGAGAACACGGATAATTAGTATGGCTTAAATACAGCTTTAACAATTTTTTGCCCATATGTACTCCTACTAAAAATTACCTAAGTAACGGGAACTACCATTCGCGAAAATTAGCCAAAATTAATCTCACAAATGTTTACCAAGCATTATTGGTGCTAAGAAAATCTTTTTTCATGCAAATACTGACATTGACATTTCTTTCAACGCAATGCAATTCAAAGATATTAACAAAGCTGAGCTATGCAAATTTTATGCTTTGGTAAAGCAAAAGTTTAGGTCAAATGAGACATGACAAGTTTTGATCCATCTGCTCTAAATCATCCACTCTGAGTTAAGTAGAGCAAAGACTAATTATATGATCTGAGACTAAAACCAAAATTGGAAGGACTAACTCTCTGCATTCACTAATAGAGCTATCAGTCATTTGCAAGGAATGCCATGAAGTTATCGCAACGTTGCATCTTGACCAAGTTATGACTCAACGGCAACCAAGAATGCATCAACGACCGCTTAGGGTGGCGTCTGTCAATTTAAGTTGGCGGTTGCATTACTATTTCATAAAATCGGTGGCTGGAATAGGAGACATTAGCGAATGTATTCAACAACTTACTAACGCGGCCTTGAATTAGTCTGAAAGCAGTGACTCTCCAATGAAATGCGCTAGGTTATTCTCTATTAGAAAGGCGCTTTCAAAGTGCCAACTTGGTGCATGACAAGCCTGTTCGTTTGCAGAAAGAATTTGCTAAAAGACAAGGAGCTTTCGTTAAAAGTCCAGAAGAGGAAACACTGATCTGTTCTTTTTGCTGGATGCCACTTGCAGTACAAACTAAGCCTTCAATCTTCAAAACAAATAATAAGATCAAGGCCTCAGTGCAAACATTGGAAGATAGCGTAATCCGTCTCACATCAGCGCATGAGTGATTTCACTTCCAAAACCGTTCCACAGCCTCTATAAAAACTTCTTGTACTTTCTCATGTCCTTGGTTGGAAGAGAACCAACGTTTTATGATCGAGGTCAGATAAAGCAAAATAATATGCGATAATCCGCAGTAGTGCGATGCGAAACCACGATATCGTACGGCAAATGCCTGCGATTTTAGACAAGTCGGATTACGTATCTTCTTGTGCAATCCTTCATCTTCAAAATCACAGACAATGTAGAGATTGACTCGCAGACTTATTATCAGCCTCAAGATATGCAGGTCCGATAGACCTCTCGGAGGTATGGATGATGAATATCAAGTCAGAACGAGTCCGAACCAAATTTTTGAAAGTAGTGTTCAAAAAAGTGTTCTAAGAACGCAAAACAGTTCAAACACTAAGCTGCAAAATGAACAAGACCTGACCCTTGTCTCTGGACCAAAACAGTCTGAGTAAACAAAACAAATGCATCGTCACAGATTTTTTAACCCCGATAATTGTGAAGAACCCTAACATTGCCACGCACAATACAGTGCAATTATGTACATACATTAGAACCCGCCCGTATAGTACGTTAATTTTGCGTCCTTGGGTCTCAACGAGGTGGATAATTCATTGTCATATCAAAGCCACAGATTGAAGACCTGTCAATGACATCTGGAGGACGAATTATTCACAAAATAGACGATTAAAGTTGCAATAATGAGCAGAACACACGTGATCTTGGAGCAGGGCGTAATCCAAACATTAAAGCAGATTGATATAATTCAAGTTTATGTAGTAATAAACGAACAAACCTCCAGGAAATGAGAGGCCAAAAAGATTGCTGCAAAGCATAGCAAAGCTATGATTTACAACGGACGTAATTGGTCGTTGGCGATGCTGGTAGAAGAGACTAACTAGCGATGGTCATCGCAGGTGCGAGCCACGCCGTCTAGTCCATGGAACGTGCACTACGGAGAGAGCGCAGGTCGGACACAGATGGTGGAAAGAACAGAGCCAGAAAGACCATGCTCACAATCCACGCCCTCGCAAAATATCCTTGCCTACTATGACCTCGTTGGCGTCGTTAGCCCCGAATGCAACCGCATGCAAATCAATGCTCATATTAACGTGGTGGTCAACCCCA